CAGTTGTAAAGGTAGAGTGTTCAGTTATAAGGTAGAGGTTCAGTTATAAGGTAGAGTGTTTAGTTATAAGTCTGTGGTCTGAAGTTATATGTAGAGGTTCAAATATGTCTGTGGTTCAGTTACAAGGTAGAGTGTTCAGTTATAAGGTAGAGTGTTCAGTTATAAGGTAGAGTGTTCAGTTATAAGGTAGAGTGTTTAGTTTATAAGTCTGTGGGTTCAGCTATAAGGTAGAGGTTCAGTTATAAGGTAGAGGGTTCAGTTATAAGTATGTCTGTGCCATGTAGAGTGTCGTAGTTATAAATATATGCCTAGCTATAAGTCTGTGGGTTCAGCTATAAGGCAGAGTGTTTAGTTATAAGTCCGTGGGGTCTCGTTATAGGTAGAGTGTTCAGTTATAAGGTAGAGTGTTCTAATTATGTCTGCCGGGTTCAATTTATAAGGTAGAGGGTTCTCAGTTATAAGGTAGAGTGTTTAGTTATGTCTGTGGTTTAGTTATAAGGTAGAGTGTTCAGTTATAAGTCTGTGGTTCAGTTATAAGGTAGAGGGTTCAGTTATAAGTCTGTGGTACAGTTATAAGGTAGAGTGTTTAGTTATAAGTCTGTGGGTTCAGTTATAAGGTAGAGTGTTCAGTTATAAGTGTGTGGTTCAGTTATAAGGTAGAGTGTTTAGTTATAAGGTAGAGTGTTCATTTATAAGTCTGTGGTTCAGTTATAAGGTAGAGTGTTTAGTTATAAGTCTGTGGTTCAGTTATAAGGTAGAGTGTTTAGTTATAAGTCTGTGGTTCAGTTATAAGGTAGAGTGTTCAGTTATAAGTCTGTGGTTCAGTTATAAGGTAGAGTGTTCAGTTATAAGTCTGTGGGTTCAGTTATAAGGTAGAGTGTTTAGTTATAAGGTAGAGTGTTCAGTTATAAGTGTGTGGTTCAGTTATAAGGTAGAGTGTTTAGTTATAAGGTAGAGTGTTCAGTTATAAGTCTGTGGTTCAGTTATAAGGTAGAGGGTTCAGTTATAAGTCTGTGGTACAGTTATAAGGTAGAGTGTTTAGTTATAAGTCTGTGGGTTCAGTTATAAGGTAGAGTGTTCAGTTATAAGTGTGTGGTTCAGTTATAAGGTAGAGTGTTTAGTTATAAGGTAGAGTGTTCATTTATAAGTCTGTGGTTCAGTTATAAGGTAGAGTGTTTAGTTATAAGTCTGTGGTTCAGTTATAAGGTAGAGTGTTTAGTTATAAGTCTGTGGTTCAGTTATAAGGTAGAGTGTTCAGTTATAAGTCTGTGGTTCAGTTATAAGGTAGAGTGTTCAGTTATAAGTCTGTGGTTCAGTTATAAGGTAGAGTGTTTAGTTATAAGGTAGAGGGTTCAGTTATAAGGTAGAGTGTTTAGTTATAAGTCTGTGGTTCAGTTATAAGGTAGAGTGTTTAGTTATAAGTCTGTGGTTCAGTTATAAGGTAGAGTGTTTAGTTATAAGGTAGAGTGTTCAGTTATAAGTCTGTGGGTTCAGTTATAAGGTAGAGTGTTCAGTTATAAGTCTGTGGTTCAGTTATAAGGTAGAGTGTTCAGTTATAAGTCTGTGGTTCAGTTATAAGGTAGAGTGTTCAGTTATAAGTCTGTGGTTCAGTTATAAGGTAGTGTGTTCAGTTATAAGGTAGAGTGTTCAGTTATAAGGTAGAGTGTTCAGTTATAAGGTAGAGTGTTCAGTTATAAGTCTGTGGTTCAGTTATAAGGTAGAGTGTTCAGTTATAAGTCTGTGGGTTTAGTTATAAGGTAGAGTGTTCAGTTATAAGTCTGTGGGTTCAGTTATAAGGTAGAGTGTTCAGTTATAAGTCTATGGTTCAGTTATAAGGTAGAGTGTTTAGTTATAAGTCTGTGGGTTCAGTTATAAGGTAGAGTGTTCAGTTATAAGTCTGTGGTTCAGTTATAAGGTAGAGTGTTTAGTTATAAGTCTGTGGGTTCAGTTATAAGGTAGAGTGTTTAGTTATAAGGTAGAGTGTTCAGTTATAAGTCTGTGGTTCAGTTATAAGGTAGAGTGTTCAGTTATAAGTCTGTGGGTTCAGTTATAAGGTAGAGTGTTCAGTTATAAGTCTGTGGTTCAGTTATAAGGTAGTGTGTTCAGTTGTAAGTCTGTGGTTCAGTTATAAGGTAGAGTGTTCAGTTATAAGTCTGTGGTTCAGTTATAAGGTAGAGTGTTCAGTTATAAGTCTGTGGTTCAGTTATAAGGTAGAGTGTTCAGTTATAAGTCTGTGGTTCAGTTATAAGGTAGAGTGTTCAGTTATAAGTCTGTGGTTCAGTTATAAGGTAGAGTGTTCAGTTATAAGGTAGAGTGTTCAGTTATAAGGTAGAGGTTCAGTTATAAGGTAGAGTGTTTAGTTATGTTCGTGGGTTCAAGTTATAAAGGTAGAGGGTTCAGTTATAAGCAGTAGAGGGTTCAGTTATAAGGTAGAGTGTTCAGTTATAAGGTAGAGTGTTCAGTTATAAGGTAGAGTGTTCAGTTATAAGGTAGAGTGTTTAGTTATAAGTCTGTGGGTTCAGTTATAAGGTAGAGGGTTCAGTTATAAGGTAGAGGGTTCAGTTATAAGGTAGAGTGTTCAGTTATAAGGTAGAGTGTTCAGTTATAAGGTAGAGTGTTTAGTTATAAGTCTGTGGGTTCAGTTATAAGGTAGAGTGTTTAGTTATAAGTCTGTGGGTTCAGTTATAAGGTAGAGTGTTCAGTTATAAGGTAGAGTGTTCTAATTATAAGTCTGTTGGTTCACTTATAAGGTAGAGGGTTCAGTTATAAGGTAGAGTGTTCAGTTATAAGTCTGTGGGTTCAGTTATAAGGTAGAGTGTTCAGTTATAAGTCTGTGGGTTCAGTTATAAGGTAGAGTGTTTAGTTATAAGTCTGTGGGTTCAGTTATAAGGTAGAGTGTTTAGTTATAAGTCTGTGGGTTCAGTTATAAGGTAGAGTGTTCAGTTATAAGTCTGTGGGTTCAGTTATAAGGTAGAGGGTTCAGTTATAAGTCTGTGGGTTCAGTTATAAGGTAGAGTGTTCAGTTATAAGTCTGTGGGTTCAGTTATAAGGTAGAGTGTTCAGTTATAAGTCTGTGGGTTCAGTTATAAGGTAGAGTGTTTAGTTATAAGTCTGTGGGTTCAGTTATAAGGTAGAGTGTTCAGTTATAAGTCTGTGGGTTCAGTTATAAGGTAGAGGGTTCAGTTATAAGTCTGTGGGTTCAGTTATAAGACTGTGGGTTCAGTTATAAGACTGTCGGTTCAATTAGAAGCTGGTTTCAGTTATAAGGTCATGGGTTGTTATAAGGTCGTGGGTGGTCATAAATCCATGGGCTCAGTTATAAGTCCATGGGTACAGTAATAAGACCATGGGTTGTTATACCCTTTCAAATCATAGCTTCCAGATCAACAAAGGTTCGAAGGTTCTCACCGTGAATATTGATCGTAAATAAAAATGTAAATTAATGTCCAGTTGTGGGCAAATCTCCCTGGACACTTAGTAATATATGACATGGCCTACGCCATCATTACGTGAGGGAGTTTATAGTTTGTTACTTGATTTTCTTTTTATATATATATATATATATATATATATATATATATATATATATATATATATATATATATATATATATATATATATATATATATATATATATATATATATATATATATATATATATATATTTTCATCTAGCCAACTAAGAGAGAAAAATATGGTAGAAAATTTACTGCAATGTACAGTACTTCATTTCCTAGCGTATCTACAATAATTAAGGTCGAGTGACAGCATAATGTTATGTTATTGGAAGTTATCCTTTGTTTTTTCCGTTTAAGCGTGTTGCAATTGTTTTCTTGTTTTCGATTATTTGGATGTTGTTTTCATGTTTTGCAATGTTTGGAGGTTGTTTTCGTGTTTTAGCATAAGTTAACCAGTTCAGAACATTCCTAAATCTTCAATTACCAATAATTTAAATTGTAAGAACCATAATTTACGAACGTGCACGTACAACCTCCATGATTCTTAATAGTTCCTAAGATTGTTTTTTTTTTCTTTAAGCTGGACATAGACATCCTTGATTTCCGAAAAAAAAGGTCAAGATTGCGCTGAAACTACTTTGATATGACACCGTTAATAGATGCATTCTTTTATCTATTTAAGTCAGGACGGCGGAAAATATTGTATGAATGTTTGAGAATCCCAAACTGCGCGTCTCACGGTGAGAGAGAGAAGGGCGGTCCTGAGACCCGTGGCCCTCCTACTTGCTACGTCATGGCTGCCAGTCTTGACATACGCGTGACTGACAGATTTAACACGATTTATTTCGCAATATAAGTACAAGTATAGTATCTAGTTATAAAGCACAAGTGTGGTTACTGTCATATGATCAACAGTATTGCATCAGGTGTCTTTAATATAAAAAAAACGGGCACAGTATATAAATTAAATTCTTAACCTGGCCATTTACACCTGAAAATGTCATCAGCAATTCAGCTGTCTTCGTTCAGCTCCACACACAGACAGTTAAAGTGTGATAAGCAAGTTCTTGGTCATACTGCAACGGTCTGGAGAATTAAATGGGTTTTTTTTACGTACATAATGACGTGCGGTAATTACGATCCCAGAGTTGTGTTTGTGTTATAGTTGGACTTTTTAAAACCTCTGCGTGTGGGTGCCGCCGTCTTTCAATTACTGTACAACATAAAATAAAGCTTATACAACTGTACATACACTACACATGCGGAAAATATTTTCCAATTTGCTTTGTATATCCAATTTGTTACATCAGGTTTAGGTTTACGTGGGTTTATTTAGTAGTTTTTTGTTCGGGTAATGTTGTTGTAATGTCATGTGTACAGCTGTTGTTGCTGAGTGAGGTTGACTAAAGTACAGAGGTATGAGTGAGAATGAGCATTATATCATAGTGTGAGGGTAAAGCGCACTGAGTGGCCCCGACGGCGACGCCCCCAGGCCCGGCTGACTGAGTGGCCCCACAATGAGCTTATTCATCAGTATCAAGTGGTCTAAGATGAACCAGATCAACAGTGTTGTGCAGGCTGGCCTCCACCTTACAGCGTCCATCCCATCACTCTCCCCGTCCTTGGCACTCTCCTCCCCGTGTCTTGCTTTAGCGCCACTGAGCCACCTGTTGCAGTAACACCCCTTTAACTGTCACAAAGAACCAAAGATCGAAACGGGTGAAGGAGTGTAGTGGTGCTTGCGCGGTGATGTAAACAAGTGGTGGTGTGAGGTACGTTGTGTGAAGTGAAGATATGGTGCGTTACTGATGGTCTGGTGTGGGTATCTAAACCTGTGGCGTTAGTTGCCCACATCCCGGATTACTGCACTAGCCAACGTCATTATCAACCTTGTTAACACGACAAATCAACATCAGTTGGTAGTGGGTGAGCGCCAGGTAACCTGGTAGTGCCTCTTTAAAAAGTATATTTTGTACAAGAGAGAAGCTCAGGAGAGCCAAAACAGCGACAAAATTACGCAGGAAGCTTTCATCTCGCCAATATTTACGAGGAGCGAGCAGGGTAACTGTGATATTGTATCTGTGTTATCATGCAGGTGGCAGCCAGCCCATCCTGGGTGCCAACTTACCCACTAAACAAGTACAGTATAACATTGAGACTAGTGTTGTGTGCACGACAGATGTATTGACAACAACCTGAGGTTTTCCATGTACACAACAAACATCCCTGTGTACGTGAGGTGCATTAATTTCCATAATATACTCAGCAATTTTCTCACTATTGTTTTCTAAATCATAATCTAACGTAATCTAGCATGAACAAAACTTTGCCCAACATGATATAAAAACACACACCATCACCACCACAAACCTACACCACCACCACACACCCACACCACCACCACACACCCACACCACCACCACACACCTACACCACCACCACACACCTACACCACCACCACACACCACACCACCACCACACACACCTACACCCCACCCACCACACACCTACACCACCACCACACACCTACACCACCACCACACACCTACACACCACCACCACACACCCCCACCACCACACACCTACACCCACCACCACACACCCACACCACCACCACACACCTACACCACCACCACACACCTACACCACCACCACAAACCTACACCACACACCCCACACTACCACCACACACCTACACTACCACCACACACCAACCCACCACCACACACCCCACACCCACCACACACCACACACCCACACCACCACCACACACCCACACCCACCACCACACACCCACACCACCACCCACACACCTACACCACCACCACACACCCCACACCACCCACCACACACACACCCACACCACACACCCACACCACCCAACCACACCACCACCACACACCCACACCACCACCACACACCCACACCACCCACCCACACCACCACACCCACACCACCACACACCCACACTACCACCCACCCACACCACCACCACACACCATCACCACCACAAACCCACACCACCACCACACACCCAACTACCACCACACACCCACACCACCACCACACACCCACACCACCACCACAAACCCACACCACCACCACACACCACACCACCACCACACACCCACACTCACCACCACACACACCCACACCACCACCACACACCTACACCACCACCACACCCACACACCACCACCACACACCCACACCACCACCACACACCCCCACACCACCACCACACACCTACACCACCACCACACACCCACACCACCACCACAAACCCACACCACACACCCACACCACCACCACACACCCACACCACCACACACACCCACACCACCACCACACACACCCAAACACCACACCACCACACACCCACACCACCACCACACACCCACACCACCACCACACACCCACACCACACACCCACACCACCCACCCACACCACCACCACACACCTACACCACCACCACACACCCACACCACCCACCCACACACCACACACCACACCACCACACCCACACACCACCCACCCACACCCACCACCACACACCATCACCACCACAAACCCACACCACCACCACACACCTCACACCACCACCACACACCACACCACCCACCCACACCACCACCAACAACACCCACACCACCCACCCACACCACCACCACACACCCCACACCCACCACCACACACCACCACCACACACCCACACCACCCACCCACACCACCACACACCCACACCACCACCACCACACCACCACCCCACACCCACGCCACCACCCACACACCCACACCACCACACACCCACACCACCACCACACCCACACCACCACCACACACCACACACCACCACACACCTACACTCACCACCACACCCACGCCACCACCACACACCGCACCACCACCACACCTCCACAACCACCACACACACCCACACCACCACCCACCCACACAACCACCACACCCACACTACCACCACACCCACGCCACCACCACACACACCCACACCACCACACCACACCTACACAACCACCACACCAACCCACCACCACACACCCACACCACCACCACACTCCACACCACCACCACACCCACACACCACCACACCACACACCACCACCACACACTACACCACACACCCACACACCACACACACCTACACCACCACCACACACCCACACCACCACCACACACCCACACTACCACCACACCCACACCACCACCCACACCTGCCACCACCACACCCACCACCACACCACCACACCCACACCACCACCACACACCCACACCACCACCACACACACCAACACCACACACACCACACACCCACACCACCACCACACACCCACACCACCACCACACCACACTACCACCACACCCACACCACCACACACACCCACACCACCACCACACCCACACCACCACCACACCCACACCACCACCACACCTACGCCACCACCACACACACCCACACCCACCACCACACCCACACACCACCACACCCACACTACCACCACACCCACGCCACCACCCACACACACCCACACCACCACCACACCACACCACCACACCCACACCACCACCACACACCCACACCACCACACACCTACACCACCACCACACACCTACACCACCACCACACACCACCTCACCACCACACACTCCACACTACCACCACACACTACACCCACCACCACACACCCACACCACCCACACCACACCACCACCACACACCACACTACCACCACACACCCACACCACCACCACACACCACACCACCACCACACACACCCACACCACCACCACACACCCACACACCACCACACACACCCACACCACCACCACACACCAACACCACCACCACACACCACACCACCACCACACACACCCACACCACCACCACACCACACCAACACCACCACACACCTACACCACCACCACACACCACACCCACCACCACACACACCCACACCACCACACACACACACCCACACCACACCACCACACACCCACACCACCACACACCCACACCACCACCACACCCACACCCACCACCACACACCCACACCCACCACCACACACCCACACCACCACCACACACACCCAACCCACACACCCACACCACCACCACACACCACACCACCACCAACCACACCCACACCACCACCACACACCCCACACCACCACCACACACCCACACCCACCACCACACACCCACACCACCACCACACACACCACACCCACCACCACCACACACCTACACCTCACCACCATCGCCACACAGACCTACATCACTTCAAACCACTACTAAACCCACACAAACACCACATCATCACCACACACCTATACCACCACTACACATCAACACCAATACCACACATACACCATCAACACAAAAGCACCTACACCATCACCACCACTACACAGCTACACCAATACCCCCCCACATGCCACGACACAAACACAAGACATCACCACTGCACAAACTCCTACACCATCACCACACAACACCACCACCACCAAAACACTTACACCACCATCACACAAACACTTACACCACACCACCACACACATACCCACACCACCACCACAACACACACCCACAACCACCACCACACACACATACCCACACCACCACCACCAGTCACCCACACCTACACCACCACACCCACATCTACACCACCACACACCCACACCACCACATCTACACCACCACACACCCACACCACTACCACACACCCACACCACCACACCACCACCACATATCACAATCATACACCACCACCACATACCAACAACACCACGACTCACATGCATCTACACCACGACTCACATGCATCTACACCACTACACACCAGCACACATCCACACCACCATCACACACCAACATCACCATCACACACTACCACCACACACAGCAGTGTTCACCTTGACACATACCATTACACCAGTCATACTGCATTCCTAACATAATATTATTCTCAACCATGAACAATCAATATTTTCTGCTCCAACCGCATCTATACCCTTTGACTTCCCAACCATTCTTTCTAAGTGCTTCAAAAACAGGTGTTAATTATTGGGAAGACAGACTCTGATATCACTTTTATAAAATATCACTGATTAAGCAGTTTGGACCACGTAAATGATTTGTCACGTCAATATCACTCCATACTTACAATATTACAGGCCAAGAGTACGTTGCTATGAATGACAGTGAATTATCATAATACTGTACAGTACAGTAGTTCCAAATGGCACTGCAAACACAGGTCTATGAGGGCGTGCCAGTGAAGATGGCCCATGGTAACTCTGGTCCAATCATAATAAGGGCCGAGATCACCATCAATAGTTAAGTTAGGTTATTTCTATGTCCCTTTACCCTTTTATTTGCAATCACCACAATTTTGGAGGTTAGAAATGTAATTGTAGTGAAATTAATGATCATACACACACACACACACACACATGTGAAGAGTTAAAATAAGGACATATCCACACATCCTTGATAGAAGACATAGTTGACAGATTTCATCGGGCCACAGCTGCCACCCTCACACATATCACCACTACCCCCAACCCCCTCCCGAAAATTCCTGGCTATGCCCACGTTTTATTGTGGATGATCTCTGTCCATATTACGATTGACTGAAATCACTAAATGGATCGAGGTCAATGGGCTGAAGTTACTATGGGCCATCTTCTGTATCCCTTTTTTGTTCCTATATGCTTTAGATTGTAATGATCCATTCTAGTGTTTCCTTACAATAATCTTGGTGCTATATTGTATCATATACAGTTACAGTACTTCAGTGTTGCTGTAACCTTAATACCACATCACCTCTCACCATAAAAACTTACACTGTGCATATTTTCTTAAAATTGATTATAAACTTCAGAATAAACAATTTGTTGTGTAAATGCAGACAGGTATTTGCTCAGTGATGAATACATCACTACGAGTACACAAGTTTTCCTGGTGACACAACAGTATCTTGCAAAAATATTACACAACACCACCATCTTGTGGGCTGTGTCACAGATGGTTATATGGCTGTAGTTTGTGAAGCTCACTACTGTAATTAACACTATTGATCCTTGTTCAAGACTTTGCCAAGGGACCATTCAAGTTTCAACACCTTCCTTTTGCTAACCTGATGTTCCTATCCTTCACTCATTCCTCTCTAATTCTCCACTGGCCTGAAACATTTTCGTCATGTGTCTGGCAGTGAAGCAACTGGGGTCATACTCCCTTGGGAAACTAATTTCTTAAGTTAAGTTTCAGGTGAAGGTAACTCAATGTCACCTGAAACAATTTATAGTTTCAGTATGGACAAAAGAGGAATGCTACTGTAGTAGCAAATGTTGAAAGATATGAACACAAAACTAAAATTATCAAGTGCAGATGTGCTTGAGTGTGTGTGTGTGTGTGTCCTCACATCACCAATTACAATTATATTACACACTTTCTCTAATAATCCACCTGACACTTTCAACCACTATCTTATCTTTCACCTCATTCAGATATGTACATAACATCACCGACAGACAGCTACCTACCCGTGTCCCTCCCACTCTCCACATTCCTCTGATACCATAATCAAAATGGTCAGATATCTGGGTGAGAACACCGTGATAACTACCTTTGGTGCCATGTTTTGCTCTCTACACACCTCACTTCAACCAAGAACACCTAACTTTTATATTCTACACCAAAAGTAATAAAACCGCCAAAAGGTGTTACCCAGTGTGACCCTCACTACCATCCATCACAGGTTTCCCAGACTCTGGTTTCCTCCTGTACTAACACTGGATAGGCCAGCCAGCCACCCAAGCAGCTAGTAATCTGATAAGTGGTTAAAATTATAAATAAAGAACATGTAACCCCTTTAATGCCACTCCTCACAGAACCACCCAAGAGACCTACCATAGGCCAAGTTAACCTGTGGAAGCAGAGTTGTCCTGGACAACTTGGCAGGGATGCTTAGTACTGTACTATAGAGTAGTAAAGGTATCATACCTAGTGACAACACAAGTCACCCAGCTATTTATATTTGTTGTTGTTGGTATGGAACAACTAGAGGTGTCAGTTGCTTTAAGAGATGTGAATATAGACTGTAAAATAAGCCTTTGCAATACTGTATGGTGCTTTCCTTCTTAGCAAATATATTTGCAGTTTGTTTAAAAAAAAAATAATAATTGATTCTTCTTCAATCAATAGGAATTACAGTATGTTGAAGCAGATGTATTTCTTAAAATGGTAGAAAATTTATCTATATTATTAGGTGAGGTGATCAATTTATACTGGACAGGACCACTGAAACAAAAGTGTCACTGAAGCAACATTGTACTATATACTGTATACAGTATGGTACAGTATTAAAAAAAACTTTGAAAGCAGTAAACGAACTTTAATATTTTCATAATTATAATCCCAAGTGCAATCTTCAGTTGCAAAATATAGAGCAACACCAACAAAATATAATTCCCTGTATACCGGATGTGTTTGAAGATGTGTTGAAAAGAAACAACAATAAATCTACAGTCTACTAAGAGTTGTGCTTCATTTGGTTCCACAATTTTATCAAAGATTTGATCTCAACTTGTGATCCCAGAAATCATAATTGACCACGACACTAACTGTACCAGAGCTCAGCGATGAATCCCCAAAGACTTTTAATATAAGGAGGCCACATGGACCCTCATAAGAGAACAACAAAAATAAGAACACAACAAGCCAAACTACAGAAAAATTTTAGCAGAAATATTTATACACATCTGTTTTGTTTGTGTATATCAGCCCCAGCATTTGCATCAACTGAAAATTATTCCTTCAGTATATGACACCTACAGTATAAGGAGCATGGAGCACCTTGAAGTGATGCCCGTCAGTACTCGTGTGGTATGTCTCAATGCCCCACATCTCAAGTCTCTGTGTGTGTTTGAGGCTCTTTCTCGTACCTTGGGATGCTACTACAACCATCATCGCTCACAGGTACATTGACTCCACTTCCTGGAACAGTCACCTATAAAAGTCCTGTCGGTTCTCTGCTATGCCAATGAACCTGAGATTCAGACACCTGAAGTCACTCTGATGCATTATTCTGTCCATAACTGCTTCAGATTCACAAATCTGAATCTCAGGATTTGTGGTTCAGGATGAGAGGTAACAGGACTTTTGTGGGTGACTGTACAGTAACATTTTCACTTTAGCACTCCTGAACAGTACTTTACTCTTATAGTATAGGTCTAGATTATTCACAGAAATTCATACTTCACATTTATCCATTAAGTAGAAATGAGAAAACACATACATATAATAAAAAGTCTCTCAGTTCAGTTTGGTTGTCACTTTGTATCAGGGATTAATGGAAACAGTTTAGATATACAGTAAGTACTCCTTTAACTTTAGCTAAGGAACATCTAATGTAAGTACTGTACCTGTATCTGAAAATCTGGACCCTTGTATCAATTACGGTACTTCCCTTTTACAGCTGACATTCTCTCTCCACTGGTGAAAACTGGCTCACAGATTAACTTTTTTAACACTCAACAAAATTTCATTCTGTCCCTCTTAACCCCTTTACTATGGGAACGCCACTTTTAATATTATATTTGGCTAATGCCGGACAATTTTATTCAGCTCAGAGGGGACCCCGTGCACCAATTACAGTATAAGATCATGACACCACCAATAAGACCAATAAACATTATCCATTACATCACCAATAAATTTAACTGTCTTGATAAAATTTAAGACAGCAAAAATAAAGAATAAAACATAAGCACTCTATCTTTCCCATTTTAACCCAATGAAAGGAGCAGACAGCACAGTACAGTACAGTATAGTTCATAATTATAATGAAACTCAAGCTGCAGTTCTGCCTCTTAGGATTTCATTTTACCGAGCCATGTCTCTTCTTGATGTCTTCACAAATTATACCAGACAGGAAAATCAGAATTGCTAATACCAATACTGTACTAATAACTAACACCTGTACTGTCATTCTAGTCTAACGTTGTTTATCATTACTGTCAGATTGTGTCTTGCCAAGGTATGGTGCGACTTCCAGCACCGAGGATCATGCGTATACGTGGCCACGCATCCCATACCCATACCCCTGGTGAAACACCCACCAAACACACCACTCTACAGGTAAGGGATGTCATTGCATATTTAGACATACTGTATAGAGCAAAACCTCTATTTAATGATTATATTGAGAGGAAATTCTGTTATATCAAGGGTCCATTATATATGAAACCCCCACCTAATGGATTATATAGAGATAAAAGTCCTTTATATGGGGGTTTCCCTGTAGAGGGTAAGATATGCTTTGACTTTATGTAAACCAAAAAATGACCAACCTGTCCCTTATTAAAGTTCTTTCCTTCCCTTAATGAATAATTGTGTTTGAACATTCATAAAAAGACCCTTACAACACCTTTTGTGGTCAGATATAAGTATCCAGGATATTAAATGAATGTGGTAAGTCAGTTTCCCTAAAGTACCATAACTTCAGTACACAATTTCTGTCTAAGTATTTGTTTCTAATGGGAGACAAGAGAAACTTTTCCCACTCAAACAAACACAGCAGAAAACATCTTTTGTTTCACAATACTGTACATCCTCTATATCTAAATTATTCATTTCATTTTTTTCTACATGAGCATTTTTATTTTTATTTTATTTTTTTTCCCCTTTGTTTTTATACGGTACAGATATCTACTTTTTTCTTTCCACACATATGACACAGAAACCTTTGTACAATTAGCACTGTTCCTGGTCTATGAACACAAACTATCAACTGTACTTATCATAATCCTTTCACATTCAAGAAACTGATATAACATTTACAAATACAAGTCTTTTATGTTATTCCTTTACCCCTCAGTCACTGGATGTCAGGGTACATTTCTTCCATTCCCCCGTCTGTACTCTGAACTTACATACAACTACATAGTGACACCTGTAGGTCACTTCACACCTGCATGACACTTCACTTCTGTATGCTACTTCACTTCTGTTTGTCACTTCACTCTTGCATGACAATTCACAACTGTATGACACTTTACACGTGCATGACAGTTCACACGTGTATGACACATCACTCGACATCTTCAAAGTAATAATGGCAAACCAATGCACAACAGAACCTAAACCTATCTTGCTTAACCCCCAAACCACCGATCTACCTCCATTTCTCTCAACAGATGGGGACGTACCTCGTGTTTTACCTCACGCACTGGACGCACATAAGGGAATGCAACCTGGTACTCAACGGTATAGAAAAAGTCCCACGTACAAATGTTCCGCCGAGGATCATACTTGAACGTATCCACAGCCCGGACAGCACAGAGTCACCACCATCACACAAAGGTAACATATACCTGTACCCAGTAGATTAACTGTAGACTCACAAGTATCATGCTCCAATTTGTGTATAGTATTTGGAAGACTCTACCTTAGAGTTTGTACGGCAACATTTTTAATACCAAACTTTGAATATATTACTTGTCCGATATAAAGAATTTTAGTTACTTCATCCTTTTGAGGTTAATTAATAATTCATTCTGAAGAGGCAGATTTTAACTACAGTGTATGTGGTATTTGTATTCTACCAGAGGTTCAAATTGTTTCTGGTTTTAAACATCAGAATGGAATGACAAGTACAGTACGTATATAAATTTCCTTCACTAATTTAAAGTTACAATCCTGACAATAAACACAATGATCGTACTACTCCACTTTTTATTCTGGAGCCAAAAGTTGCTCATCTACTCTCACTTCACTGGAGAACTCATGAGAACTTCTATTTGGTTTAATGAAAAATTACTAGCGAACCAGCTCACAATATTTTTCATGCAACAAATGCAGTAGTGAAGAATGAAAACTTTGTCCTCAATATCAAAGATTATTTTGTGTTCCAAGATGCTGGTACAGTAACTGCATACACCTACTAGCTGACTTAACCCTCCACTTCTTCAATCTACCTCTTCATCTTTCAACACTTCAGCTCAAAGTTATTAGCACATATACTGTATACGTATAAATAAAGAATAAGAGAATAATAGTGTTGCCTTTTGTTTTTTCACATAAAACTAAAGAGTAAATGAGGAAAAACTGGGCTATCTGGGTGATTAGTGGCCTGACTGGCAGTGTGTGGTAAAAAGGAAGACCGATTCATTACACTGGCTACTGCTCACAGGACAATTGTACGTAATTACAGTACTTGGTGACTATTTATAGAGGAAATACTAAAAATTCATTTAATCTAATTACTGTACCCATAAATAGCTACACTCTTCATGTTATGTGGTAAAATGCTGATAGTGTAAATATACGTAAATTTTCTTGTTTACTACCTCTATTTAATCATCTTGTGATGGATATTACCTGTCTGAATATAGTGACTTGAGTTCTTATTACTTGTCTGATTATAGTGAGTAAGTTGTTATTACTAGTCTGATTATAGTGATTAAGTTGTTATTACTTGTCTGATTATAGTAACTGTAAGTGGATATTACTTGTGTTTTTATAGACTTCACATGATTGGTTTCTCAGCCCCCCTTCCCCTCCAAGCCACTCAGTAATAATAAATCGTCCTGCCTTATTTCAGATGAGACCCAAACAAACGGCGATACAAGGGAAGGATTTAGCCTAACAAGGGTAAACACACTACCTCTGCCCGACCATAGCAACATAGCCGAAGCCAATAATCCCACCAGCCTTCCCGCATCACCCAAAAATTACGTCAGGAGGGACCCCAGTCGTAGCATTAACCAAGAAAGTCAAGGATGCCTACAAGTCAACAACAAAATAGAGACAGCACAAAAACAGAAGAGAGAAAATATACAAAAGAATGAACCAGAGAGACAAATGGCACAGAAGGAGGTGGAGAAGACACATAATCACATTACCCTCAATATGGACGAGACGGAGGAAATCACAACGCTACTGGATGAGGACGAGGATGAATACACTTCCGATACATCTGATGATCTCCACAAGGTGAATTACTTGTAGATATTTTTATTTTTTTTCAAACTACAATTATACGTCAGCTTCAAATTAATTTATGGTGTGTGTGTGTAAATACTGTAGATGATGGACATAACACGTTCTTCAATGATTCTCCATGAACTACATGTACTTCATTATTTAAAACACAAAATAACTTGTTTATCTATAATAAATTAAAAATACCGGTATACATACAGTATTTTCAAATGATAAAGATCCCTTACCATCTTATGCCAACTATCACCTTGGGGACCTTTGGTGTTACAGGATGCTCAACTGAACCACTGTGAAGATTGTCAGGTCTGCTTGTTAGATTAAATATTTTTCCTTAACCCCTTCATTACAGGGACACTACTTTTAATATTTTATTTGGCTAACAACAGATGATTTTATTCAGCAGATAAGGAATCCCATAAACAAGGGGTTAAAAGGAAATGTAATAACCTTCTATATCTAAAACATGATTTAGGTAATATTCCAAACTAAATATTTGTGTCACCTACTAAGTACAGTAATCTAACGTGACACTCAGGTGGTGAGGAAACGGCTGTCAGTGGACATCACGCCGCTCCTCAACCCTCACCCTAAGGACAAACTTCTCGTCCTTCTTCTAAGACCAGCCGAGGAGACACAAGCTTGGCAGTTCCTATCATCATGCTTGAAGGTAAATGCAATACACTACTGCATGAGTGATGAGATGTAAATAATAATGATAAACTATTCTTGGTAAAACACTAGATAGAGATAATGGGTTTATGAGAACACAATACTCTAGCTCCAAAAAGTATCTTTACGGAGGGGTTCAATGCATTTTAAAATGAACACCGACTCCTGTTTTTTCTGTAGGGTTGTCAAAATCCTTCGTCCAGTGTGCCATATTGTCTCGCACAAAATCCTAAATACATTTTCTGGAGTGTGTGTACAGTGGTAGCCAAATCTGATAACTATTGTGTGCAATATGTACTGTGTTAATAAGTGTCTTTCTTATGTATAGTTTTTACTTTATTTGAAGCAGACAACAAAATAAAATCACATTATTTTCTGGTAAAACTTATTTTATTTAGTGTGATAACATGAGAATTATGCCGATAAGTTCTATAATAATTTTACCAGCATCAGTCAGCTCTATGAATACAGTACTGTACTGTATTAATGTTTCTTGTGTTGCAGATAACTCACTCTAGCAGCAGGACCATGGTGGTGGATGGCTCTGGCACTATCAAGAAGGCTCTCACCAGGACCAAGCCTCTCTACTTCTCTAAGAATGGAAATGTGCACAGAATCTAATCACAGCCTACACAAATTACTACAATGATCCTCCACACTCATTAAAATATGTACCTGAAACAATTTTTCTCTTTTTATTCCTTATAAATTTTTTTTTTTCTATTCCTTGTAAACATCCACAGGCCTATAGAAAGGTTAACACAAAGGGAATGGGAATCATCCAACATTGGCACTCGGTTAAAAATGAAGGACTGATTCTGAAGTCATATTTTCTAACTAAGTCAAGGCAGTGCTTTGTATCCCTCCCTCCTTGCCTCCTCCTGCTGGGGTGGCTGAGTGTACTGGTGCTAAGGTCACTGATCTGGAAATATTCTGGCCAAGATGAACTATGTAGGATGAAGAAACAAACACACTCTTACTTGGTGACAAAAATTTATAGCCATCAGTCCTCTGGATAAACTTTCATACCATGTGTCTCATTTATCAAAATTCAGTACAGTACTGTACGTAGGTGAAAGATTCTTCTACAGCATTTGAGTTTACAGTATTTTATTTTTGCATTCCAGTCATAAATTTGTGTTCCTGGGAAACTGGTTTTCACTGTGCACATTTCCTGACAATACAATCATCTGACACACACACACTGCTTGACAATACACTCACCTGACAATCCCACACACTGCCTGACAATACAATCATCTGACACACACACACTGCCTGACAATACAATCATCTGACACACACACACTGCCTGACAATACACTCACCTGACTCTCCCCCACACAAACACTGCCTGACAATACAATCTCCTGACTCCAACTCCCTCAGAAAATAAGACTTCAGAATCAATTGTTCGTTTTCAAGATAAATTATAATCTTATGTGGAAGGTTCTCCCCAAAATTAAAAAGGATGTCTCTCTTCTCTTGTGACCACCGGCATATGGGCCTTGGACTGAGTGGGGGTTTATTGTATTGTACATGTGTTTGGAATATTATTTTATTTAATGCATGTCGGTCAAACCCAATAGCAACTCCACATTCCACGTTCTTCTCGTTCATTGTTATTTATTCGTTCGTATCAGTGTAATAAATGTGCTTTTCTTTGGTAGCCCCTCTTTACAACGAGGCCCCAAATATCAACCTGGTTTACCCTAGTCATTTCACACAAGGCAGCATCAGCCATCAGCAGTATGACCTTCCTTACACAAGTTACTTATCACCATAGTTTTTCTACTCATTCATGCACATCCATCCCCCTCACTCCTCGGTCCTCCCTTCTCCTTCCTGTCATCCAACTATTAATCACTTTTTTTTTATTTCCCAAACATTCACTTTCCTTCCTCTCAATATGCCCATACCATTTTAATGACCCTGAGCCTTCCTGTCTAGTATTTCTTTCATTTCCACACCTCCATATTTTTATGTGTCATCTTATTCTCTGCGTCCTATTTACACCACATGTTCTCAAGTACTGTATGGACTTTTGTCACTTTGAATTTTCTCCTTCCTCTTGTACGATACATTGATAATACTGACTAAATGATTCCCCTATACTGTACACTTATCTCCTTGCTTCCTTTACTATGATTCCCTCTCCATACACTCCTCCTCAATCCATCTATTTCTTTCCCTCCACTGCTTTGTGATTCAGTTCATTTCTCATTATATGCCATTTGCTGACTCATTCACAACCAGGTGTCTGAAGTGCTCCTATTCTATCTTGATTCTGACTCAAGTTTATCTTCATTCTAACTACTGTAGCATTTATTTCTCCCTGCCTCTTTTCTTAGTCAGTTTCATCACATAAATCTGGTTCACATTCACAATTAAATACCACATACAGTAATAAAAACCATTATAAACTTTGCAGATACTGTTATGTTATTCCCTACACCTTACATGTATATAAAACAAATGTGTCAGCACAAAGTTTCACAGGCTCTGATAAACAATAAGCAATAACATACTGCATGTCAGCACATGTTTCACCACCTCTGATAAACAATAAAATACTGTATATCAGCACAAAGTTTCACCGCCTCTGATAAACAATAAAATACTGTATATCAGCACATGTTTCACCGCCTCTGATAAACAATAAAATACTGTATGTCAGCACAAAGTTTCACCGCCTCTACAAGTCTCATATATGTCGGTAACCCCAATGCCACCATACTCGTTTAGCCAACATACTCACTGCACATATGGGATAATAGCTAGGCCGAATAAACCTAAGGTTATTTAGATATAAAACAGACATACTGTACTCACCACAGCACCTCAGCTATCCTGGGATGGTTGGCATCATTTACAATGTTTGGCACAAAACAGATCACCTCTTGTTGGACCTAAAAATAACACAAAAATCACTGATAACACTCCATTTTAACATTAGCCAATATGAAAACAATTCTTACATCAACTGTTTAAAAATGTAGATAAATTAGAGCTATAGTATACAAAAGAACATCACTATGATAAATTATTTAAATGTTTCTTCACTGCTCACTGGGCCATTTGAAGTGTATAAATTTAAATTACAAAAAGAAACATAAGGTGTACAAAAGATACGTAGCGTACTGCTGTATCTCGAGTATTTTTTCTTGTCCAAGTATGCAAGTTTAGTGTTTTCCATGCCATCACCCACTCACTCCAACTATTGTGACACCACAAAAGCAACTTGATGCCACACCCTTATTCCATTCAACTGTGCTGCTGCTTCTTGGGAGTCCGTCCCCCTTACTTCTAGCACTGTGCTTCCTTCACCCTACTTTTCCTTCCTTCTAGTACAGTACTGTACTGTGCTTCCTTCACCCTATTAATCCTTCCTTCTGTACTGTGCTTCCTTCACCCTACTTTTCCTTCCTCCTTCTATTACAGTACTGTACAGTTGTACCCCGCTTTACGCGGTTTCACTTAACGCGATTTCTCATATACGCGGTGCCTCGCCAGAACCGAACTTTCACTTAACACGGTTCATCTACCCATATACGTGCAGAGTGTCCGGCTCGAGACGCTATTTTTAGAATCGCCCCACCCGCTCCCGCCTGCGCCCTGCTTCTCCTCTCCCTCCTCCTCCTCCTCCTCCCTCCCTCCCCTCCCTCCCGCCTCCCTCCACCTGGGCAAGCCGCGCTGTAAGGTTGCGCAGTGTGTGTCTTCTACTAACGTAAGTGTTACACCTAACTTTTAGTTTTCCTAACCTAACCTTTATTTTTCCTAACTTAACCTTTATTTTTCCTAACCTAACCTCTTCTATATTACTTGTTTGTTCATACCATCATAAAGTTAAGATAAAATTTTTACTACAACATAGTTGTGTGTCGTCAAAAGTGGAGTTTGGGGGTCGGGCCAGTCTCTATTGGAATTAGTCCCATATGTTCTGTTGTTCACTTAACGCGGTTTTCACTTAACGCGGTACCCTGTGGGTTCAATTGACCGCGTAAAGCTGGGTACAACTGTACTGTGCTTCCTTCACCCTATTCTTCCTTCCTTCTAGTACTGTGCTGTGCTTCCTTCACTCTTATTCTTCCTTCCTTCTAGTACTGTACTAATTATGGAGTGATTCAAGAAACTGTTGAGGAAAGTAACCCTCTCACAATTTGGGATGCCTGTATTTTCACTATTAAACATCTACAAATCTCAAAACACATAAAACTGACGGCCACACCAGCTGACAGTTTGGTGAAAAGGTGATTAACTTAAGTGTACCTTCAATTTTTTTTTTTATTTACCAAGTCATTTTGTTATTTATTCATTTCAACAATAAACAGAATTTTAAGCTCTTCTTTTCAGTTCATTTTCCACTTGTGAAAATCAACAGATAACAAAGAATAATAAACAAACATAATGTGGCTGACTTGCTGAGATCGCAACACAACACTATACAGTATGGTATGCCTGTATCACAACTAAACCATACCTGTGTACTTGGCTGAATTGTGGAAATTATATTAATAAATGTCCAACCTTTTTAAACATTTAATTCAGTGTTTGAAACATGTTTTGAGTTTAAAAAAATAAATAAATGAAAATTGTCATTTCAAGACCTAATCCCAATGAAAAACAAGAAACAAACACTAGAGAGATGAAAGAACAAGAAATGGACTGTTTAAAATGTGTAAAATGACATACAGAGTCACCAGTACATATAGTGGTCCCATTAGCCAGACAAATACCAACTATTCTAGAGCAAACGGCTGAAGATCTGGATGTACTGTACAGGCATGATGCCTCCATCCAGCATTTACATAAGTAATGTAACTATAATATGAAAAGTAAGGTCAGTGTGGCCAATGGAGGGTAGTAGAGGCTGACACACATCACATCACATGGACCTATCACTATCACATTTTACCTCAATATGGTTTAAGAAATATTAAAACTGGATAAAAAAAAATACCTGAAATGGAAAATCTTAAGACACTAACATGAAAAACTTAAAATGTGTTAAAAATATCAGTAAAAAACAAGTAAATCCAATTAATCATCATTGTAATTAAGAGATTTACCTAAAGAAACTGCCTCCAAAAATGTATTCCCTAATTATGAAAGAGAGGACGAGATATAATTGGTGACATATATGTAAACACCAGACAATAAATGTCATAACAGTAATAAACTAATAAATAGTGAAAAAAAGTAAGGACTGGAAGGAGAACAAGCAAAGAGATGAATATGTAACTGAGGAAAAACAATTTATGTTTCTTAAGGTATAAAAATTACACAAAAACAATTGTATAAGATCTTTAGCGGCATATTACCTTGGGCGGTGAGCCCTCGAGAATGTCCACGATCTTGTCAGTGAGTGTGTCCGAGTCAATGATGTGGTCAAGCCACTTGAGGTTGGCCAACACTAAATTTGGGAGGTTGGCTTGGCTGCTGCTCCTAGTGAAAAACATCCAAATGAGAAGATTAACATTAAATTACCTGGTTTTATGAGAGCTGGTACCATTCTTTGACTTATATTAGTATGAAGACCACTACTATTCATCTACAGGAATACCTCGCTATTTGCAACCCCACGTATCTGCAATTGATATTTTAACAGCCTTGTGATTGCATAATTAACTTTTTAAATATTCTCCTTTTTTTTTAACGGGGATTAACCCACCCAGGCACAGGTCACTGACCCACATTGGGGTCTGGGGGCGAAAATGTAATAAATATTCATAGTAAATAAAATTTATAATAAAGATAACAATAATAATAATAACACTGTAATAATAATAATAATAATAATAATAATAATAATAATAATAATAATAATGAAAATGATGATGATGATAATAATAATAATAATAATAATCATAATAATAATAATAATAATAATAATAATAATAATAATAATAATAATAATAATAATAATAATAATAACAACAATAATAATAAAGAACTATCAAGAAATACAAAAAAAATATCAATAGTAAGAAACGCTATAACTGTATGTACTGTATGTTGTGTTATCAAGTAAGAGAAACAATTGAGACCTGTAATTGTGTGTAAATGAGACAGAAAGTCAGATCAGCAACCTGGTCACAATTTTCGTGATGCCATATGGCAGCAGGGTCTGCCATTAGAAAATACATTATGCTTCCAATATCTTCCCAGGCCGTAGCACAAATTACTCAAATTTTTAAATTGTGAACCCAGATCCTTAACCAGCATGTCAAGTAGTACTTTTGTATGAAATTTGAACAAAATCCATGATATGATCCCAAGTGCTGAAACATCAGGCTTATTTTTGACATCAAAAAAATTTTGGGGGGGAAGTGAAAGCTACGATTAGGTTAGGTTAGGTAAAGATAGTCTATATTTTTAAGAAAATGTATATAAAGGTGATACAAAACTTACCGGCACATCACAATTGACTTTTTAAATACTGTATTCTAAACATAAAAGCCTCATAGACAAGGGGGAAATAATAAGTGTTAATAGACAATTAGACATGTGTAGAAAGTGACAGGGAAGGCAAAGAAAAAGAGTAGAAATGCATACACAGACTTGTTCATATCTTCAATTTACATTCACAGTACACAAAAAAATAATAATAATATATTTGTATATGTACATATATATTCTTGTCACAAATTCATCATAGTTCACATCAGTTTAATGCATACAAGAAGCTGTATTGTTATGCTGTACTTTTCATCCAAAAATATGGTAACTGTACTATACTTACTCATCATCATTCGCAATCTCAAGGAGCTTCTCTGTCAATAACTTAATGAGACTTGGCTGAAGTTCTTCTATATTGAGACACATACGGATGAGTGAGTCTTGCTGTCCTCCTCGGGCAGTCACACAATTTTTCACTGTCTGCAGATACACACCTAATTAGAATGGATAAATTGACTAGTAAAGCAAACCACCTATAAGATGACCTGAAGTAACTGTCTACCAGGGTAATGTAACCCCACCACTAAAATATCAGCTTAAAACTTAACCCTTTGTGTACGGGTTCCCCTCCGAGCTGAATAAAATCATCTGGTTGGAGAGATACATCTGCTCTTCACAGGTTGTGTCTGGAGTCCTGAATGGGGTATTTCACCTGATATTCAAGATGGCTTCCATTCAGCTGAAGGGCTCACTGTATACCCACTAGGATAGATATAGGTCAAATTTAACCTCCTGTTTATAATATCAACCTAAGCTTCCAGTCTCCCTCTTTTGGGTAATAGTTGCTATAGGGATGGATGGAATATAGTAGTGTTAGATTAGTCCCCAGCCATCAATATCAAAAGTCTACTGAATGATGACTCTATTGCCTAGTGGGGACTATTATAGAGCTGCCCAGTAGAAGGAATTAGGTTACAAACAATGGCTATGAAATACCTGTAATATTTCAATTATAAGAATTTACAACATCAGCTAAGAGGCGACAGAGGATCTACTGAGTGAAGGAGACAACAGGTGTGTGAGGTGTCAACAGGGAGAGGTTTAGTGTTGAGTGATGGTGTGGGTGCTGGAGCAAATCTGACACTGAACACCTTGCTGTGTTGAAGCAATGATCACAGAGACCCTCCTCCTATCTTTAAACCCTCTGAAGATGGTAATGACAATTCATGGTCAGTGCCCACTGGATGGGGCAATATTGAATATAAATAAATAAATAAAGTTCACTATGCATGGGATGGTAATCCCTCTATCAAGAATCAAATACTGTATTAATGACATCAATTTCCTCCTGTGTACCACACATTCAGACTCGGTAATGGTCCATCTATTACAGTACTAATGAGCAAAAGGCCTGCAATGCCTCAGATCAGTTGCTAGAAATCTCCACAAAGATGTTAAGCAAATACATAACATGGGTAATTTAAATTGGGCCCACTAGAAAGCTGTATATGACAACAGGTGCAGAACAGTATGACCCACCTGAGTATAAAGTAGTGTCCATTTTAATTTCACAGGATCCTCAATATGATCCTCTAGTCCCTGAATAAATTTCTCTGCAATTTCCGGCATGCGGTAGATTGAATGAGACCTTAAACTCCACCGAAGGTCCCGCTGGAACATTGCTTGATCACAACCTGAAACATTTTTTAAAACACTGAATTCTAAAATAAAATACACATTACCTTAGCAAACCCATCCTTGTTATTAATGGTCTGAATCCATATAATATACTGGGAAATACATAAACTTTTCTGTATCTACAAACAAATTAAAACACACTAGTGATAATTACTGTAGTGTGTAGCTAATTAATAATCTTACAACAGTGTGCATATGTGTACCATATAACAAAATAAATGCATAAAATAACACGATGTAATTTCACTCATCTGACTATGGTGAACTGACAGTAATTACTGGAAGATGCAGAGGTACAAGCTGAACAATATTCACTTAACAGACACATACAGTACTGTATTACTCTTATTGTACTTTGTTAGTACAGTACTATCCCTTTGAACAGTGCTCCGCAACCTTTTTTACTTCATGGCACATCATTTAATTTGTTCAATTCTTGTGGCACACTAAACTAATATTTGCCATGATAAGTGTAAGGAAAGTATTAGTAACTTTTTTTGTTTTACTAACAAATGATTGAAGGAAAAACCATAGTAGCAGTAAAACACACCGGCAGCCAGTGCTCGTACATGCGCAAGACTGTTTCAGGGCACATCACGCTGCATGACTCATGCATGTGCTCCAAAACATTTTATCCATGTCCGAATGAGACAGGCCCTGGCGACGGTTTCGTAAGTATTGCATAAATATATGAAAATGATAGTGAACTTTAATGTATCCGTTTATTAACTTTCAATACTAATTTATATTTCTTATTTTCATTTATATAATATCAGTTTCCCGTAATTGTTATTACTGTTTTATAGTGAGGAAGGGGAATATACTGCGGCACACTAGAAACTTTTTGGCGGCAACCAGTGTGCCACGGCATACTGGTTGCAAAGCACTGCTTTAGAACACTGATTTGGTATGCCATAGTGCAACTCAAGTGTCCTGGAGAAAATTTTTATTAATAAATTAAACAAATAAAAAATGCATAAAATGCTTCAAAAGTCACAAGTGAGGACACACAACACTGGCAGAGAAACTCACCAATACCAATTAGTGGTTTACACTTTGAGCCAATCAACACTCACCTCCTCCAGTTCTGACTGCTGAACACTAACATGTGGCTAGTCTGCTGAAATTTTTGTGAAAGAATGACAGAGTGCAGTAAGCTTTAGGAGCCCTTTAAAAGTCAAGCTCTTAGCTGACCAAGGGAAATTCCTTTGCTCTACTATGCTAAACAATATCTTTTAATTTTAAAAGAATATCCAATGACTCAGCTTTCACTGACTCAAGTTTGTAGGTCTTGAACAAAATCACTTTATTATAACTGACAAGATTCATTGGTTAGTTCCCTGGTCTTTGAACAGTCATTTATAGAGGTTGTCAGGGTTATGATCACCAGTGGTCTTTGGATACCAGTACAGCACAGTACCCCAATTTAGTACTGACCAGGCTTCAAGCACTAGATGATCTTAAGTTCTGGATGACCACCTCAAAATGGTCAAGGTTTCATGGGACTATTATACCTATACATGAATTCTATTACTTAAGACAATAATGGCCTGACATTATGTGGCAGGTGAACAGGGACATAAAAAGAGATTACTTTTGCACCTCTTCTTAAGAACATTCAACTTTCAAACTTTCAGAGATACAAACATCATCACTGAGGGGGGTTACCTGCCAGAACAGGTGTTTAATGTGGATGAGACTGGATTATTTGGAAGAAAATTCCAGATAGAACAAACATTACCTAAGAGGAGAAGAGTGAGCCAGGTTTTAAGGCTGTATTAAAGGGTATAGCTGTACTAAATATCCATAAACTTTTCATTTTTTACAATATGTTTGGTATCTACTGCACATGAGTAAAGTTGGACTCACAAACAAGCCTCAGGAACGTAACTCGTTCGTAAGTAGAGGAGCACCTGTATAGAGAATTCTTAAGAGGAATAAAGCCAATTATGACAAACAGTACCGGAAGGAGTTTGTCGTCCTACACAGGAGTCCTAAATTTATCTTTAATGAACATTATACACAATTATCTAATAACATACCAGATTGCATGATTTAAGCACAATTGGGGGAGAGAGAAAAATAGAGGTGAGGAGGAAAGGAGATGAAGGAGGGGAGAAAGTGGAAGGAGAGCAAGAATGAAGCAAGAGAGAAAAGGCAAAAAAGACACAAGAGGAAAGATGACCAGGAGAGCAAGAGAGACAGAGAAAGGAACAAAGAATCAAGAATATTGAGCTGACTGGAGGAGGGCACAGTACTTACGATGACAGCAGAGTAAAGTAAACATTACAACTAAAATACTTTATTCATTTGAATAAAAAGATAATTTTAATTAAATGATGAGAAGAAATGCTGGTCATACTTAGCATGTTAGGCTGATCTCCTTTCTTCAGCATATATCCAGCTTTTGACACCAGTTCACCAAACAGAGAATCATCTTGCACTGTATCACTTTCATTTGCATCTTTCTTTCCTCGAGACTTTTTTGACTTCTGCAGAGAAGTAACCAAGTCATCGGTGTTGTCTGAGTCTGTGTTTACAATTAATTTTCTTTTCTTCCTTGATGACATGATTCCTGAGAAATTGTTTCAGACCTGTAAGAAAGACACTAATGTAAAGAAGGAAAAAAGTATTAAATAAATTCAGGCATAATTAGTGACATAAAGCCATATCTTGCTTCTCACACACATACACATTATAATCACTGTGTCTTCAGTGCTAGTGAATTTGATTTCTTCCAGTCTTGTTTGGGCTTGTGACTTCTTCAACCATAAGCTGTGAACCCTGGTGGGGCAGACATCCCACCCCAATATATGGATATACTTTGAAATGTTTATAGACTTCTATTACGGGTAATTATTGACAACATGCCAGTTTCCAAATTTTCATAGAAAACTTATTTTAAAATGACACAAATTCACTGTTTTGCAATGGACACTATCGTAGTTTGAACAAATATTTTAAAATGGGGTTATTTCAAAATTAAACCTAGCCTAACTTAATCCTGGTTTTTCTCAGAAAATTACCGGCAATATAAAAACACCGCAATTTCACTGTTTTGCAGGGTTATTTCTAAATTAAACCTAACCTTCCCAGTAACTTAACCTAACCAAATGAAGCATTTGCCCAAGAAATGAATATCATACCCAAACTAGCAATGAAAATACCTGTATAGGGTAAGGTTTAAGAAAGCGCTACCACCAGAAGTTGTTTGTCGTTTTCTTTATTTTTGCTATACTGTACTTATTGTTTTGATGATTTTAAGTATATTAAAAGAAACGACAACTTTCTAATATAATCTTAAGTATTTTTTTTTTTAATTTACTCTATACTACAATCTTAAATTCCTTGTTAGTAGGCAGGGCATCAAAGATGAGGGAAATTTCGGGGTAAAAAACACGGCAAACACTAATGTTATGGCAATAAAATTATGTCTCTAGGTGCTTTTCAAATGCTAAAATCATATTCTTGCCGTAAATCAGTCCATTTTCACAATTCCCCTGCTGCCGCCATTGCTCCTTCCTCTAAGAAACTGTATAAATTGTGTTCCATTACTTTTGATCCTTTTAATAAAATAATTACGCATCTTTATTAAGTTTAGAATTACGTATATCCCGTTTACTCTTCCTTTGTTTACTTATTAAATGCATTCTCTGTTCTCTTTATATCATCTAGACTTTTATACAGCGCCTCGTGACAATCATTAGGAAGGATTTCCTTGGTTCTTTTGCTTACTTTAGTTGGTTTAAATATTTTGTACACACTATTAGCATAATATTAAACACATAAACGAACAGGATAATGCATAGAACCTAATAGAACCTGACCTAATAGGTTGGGTTTGTTAGGTCAGGTTCTAATAGGCTCTTGTATATTTTATGCATTACTTTTACTTTTATCCTCTTCACCACTGATCGGCTCGTTAGCCGCTTGGGCGATCGGTCACGTCTCTGTCACGCACTGTTGGCAAGTACTGGGCATTTCTGTGTTTAATATCATGCTAATAATGCATACAACTCTGTTAGAAAGACAAAACTATGCTTTTCTAATGTATTTTTGTAATTTGATTGGTTTTGACCTTGATTTCCTTCGGAAATTGCCTGTTTTTTAGTTATCGGGGGTTTTGGGTGGGGCGTTTTCCGACAAAAATCATGGCCAGGCAAATACAAAATAATAATAAAATAAATAAAAAAATAAAAATAAAACCGAATCTTTTTTTGGATGACCTGACCTAACCTAACCTGACCTGACCTGACCAAAATAACCTAATCTGACATGACCTAACCTAATCTGACCTAACCTAACTCTCACCATATGGTGGAATCACATTTCTTACCTCAATAGCCTGGTTCTGGTTCGTTGTTGGATTTACTAAAATGCCAACTACCTGTATAATGGTCTTGGCGATATTTACATTCGTTCTTACACTCAGGACACTTTACTGAGGTCGGGAGAACACCATGAGATCTAAAAAATGCTATTGCTTGTTCGTTTTTTCCCCAAAACTCGCAATCAGCTCCATATAACTGAAGTGACACCCATCGCAGACTTCCATGGTCGGAAATGAATTTGAATTTCGAAATATGACCCAAAATCACAATCGAATTTAATTGGGCAAAAAATACCATGAGTTAAAGCACAATTAATTTTAATTGATGGATAAAAAACGCCTTTGATTGGCCGTGTGAAGTGTACGGGAACGTATACGAGTGAAGATTTATGAAAACACACCGAGTGGGAGGTCGGGTAGGCGATAATGGCGGAACATTAATGGAAGAAAATAGAAAGATTTGGCTTGCGTCATATCTGTAATTATACGTTTGCGACGGTAAAGTAATAGAAGAAAATTATCTTAAAATTAGACGTCTTTTTCAAATTTGATAACAGATTTGGGGTAGGAAAATTGTGTGCACAAATGCAAAAATACCCAAATACAGTACAAGGCTACAGGCATGTCGTCTATATTAGCCCTATTAAGTCTCCCTTTGCCTGCTGTAGCATAAGCTAAACAACTGGAGGCATTCTCGTCTCTCTGGGTACCGGAGGTGTCATAAAGTAAAAAAAAATTGGTAAACCTAATTTAATCTGAGTTGTGTTGTGTTAGGTTAGGTTGGGTTAGGTTAGGTACATGCACATTGCACTCGATCTATTAACTCAGATTAAATTAAGTTTGCCAATTTTTTGTGACTTTGTGACACCAAATACTAGTCGAGAAGTGATTGGCAGTCCGATTTATTCATCTAGGACCATTATTTGACTTCATTCCGGCTATATTTGGCTACATTTGGGTAATTAGTCGGACCCGTATGGTGGCCCTCCTTTGGATGCTTTCAATCAACTGACAGCAGACAGTCTTAAGCATATCTCGGGGACTAGACGGGGTGACAGTACTGACTTGTCAAATCTATACACTATTATGATAATGATCCACTAGTCCCAATAGGTCTAAGAGCAATTTAGTGCCTGTTACATTTAGTCAAATTTAAATGTCTATTTGGGTAACTTAATCTTGGGCTGTTGACCAGTTTACCATTAAAGTATATACAGTACTGTCTATCTAAAAAAAAAACATAGATTAACTTATATATCTGCGATCTCTATACAAATGCCGATCCTATAAACGTTTATAACAGTACCAGTTACCTAAGAGTCCAGTATACAAGTAATCCTTCGGAAGATGGTACAGTAGCTGCCACAGGTCCACCTACAACAAGTTCCCGCGTGTTAGATGTTTGTTCACAAAGACTATATACTCAAGACAGGAATGAGTGTAAAATAGTTAGTAATAATATTAGCTGGGACCTCAAGACACAGTGATGTCATTTAAGGATGGCGCTGCAGTGATGTCATGTTGTCGTCTGCATGTTTTTTTTTTAAATATTTCACTTTAACTTTGTTTTCATAGATACTAAGAAATTCCTCATTTTATTAAAGAAAGAAAAAATTGGATACTTTGGGATACTTTTTAGATTATGGATACGTTTTTACTTTTTTAGTACTTCTGTGGATACCAAGGACTGTAATATTATAATCTTTGGTGGATACGTTTTCATTTTTCCCACTGATAAGACTGTAGCCAAGACTTCTGGGCTAGGTCGCATCCCTGCGTTATTTGCAAAAGGAGAAAGGATACACATCCACATTTTCATTTTCATCGTTTTCCAAAGGACAGAGATCGGTAACTTAAGTATTTAACCTCTTGTGAGTTACAGTGAAAATGTGCAACTACAGTATATATTGAAATACATTTCAAATCAGAGGCAGCAGCTGTGGGGTACGAGATATTGGTTCACACTCAGGATGGGAAGGAGAAAGGAAACTCACAATGTGCTCTCTGTATACATGTTGTATTGGATGTACAGTGCAGCTTGGTGCTGGGAAGGCAGCATGGTTACGAGCGTTGAGTAGAGAGAGCTGGTTGGTGAGGGTGCTCAGAGGAGGACCAGCTTGTGGGTCGCCATGGTCGCCGGCGGAAGCGAGGGCCGCCAGGCAGGAGGAGGAGGTGTTACTTGAAGACTGGCAGTAGGTAGAAAGAGATAGGTCACCACTAAGGTAGGTAGGTAGGTAGGCGTGGCTTAATAGTTGACCTCAGTCGTGTAAGGCGGCGCTGGTTGCTGGCTTAGACACGAGGGCAGGCTGGTGAAATTCGCGGGATCGGCTACTCAGCGACGAAAGCGTTTGTAGGGTAGGAATCCACTATACACAGCTTCATCAGTCACTCCGACTCACTTGCTAAGAATTTGACAGGTCTCTCGCAGATGGCAAAATAACATTGACATTCCCAGATCATACTTGAAGAACTGTGAAGAATTGCAAAGAAGTTATAGTGTTCTAAGTAATCCCGACTATCTCGCCAACCTTTCACAAAAGACTCTCTTTGGGGCGTGGCTTCATAAAAGTGTTGCAGATCTCCTGAAACTGAATGTCCCAATCACCCCAGACGAACCTATTAATGCCATTCCTCCTTGGCTGGACATATCAGTTTGTAGGGGTATCGAGATATTAATGTTGTCTAGCACTCAGGATGGAAGGAAACTCTAATGTGGTTTTCTTGTATAATATAAGATATATAATAGACAGTCTGGTGCTGGAGGTGCTGTGTGGTGAGGGGCTGCTTGGTAGAGACGTGCGGTGAGTAGCTTGTTGAAGGAGGTAGATGTGCAGGAGCTTCGTTAGAGAAGATGTTGCCTGTTGCTGGCCTCCTGGTTGAATGAAATGTTAACAGCGTGGAGCTTGCTGGAGGAGATGTTGCTTGTTCAGGAAAATGGGCAGAAATGAGAGTTGGTTGGTGAGGAAGCTCAGAGAAGGACATGCTCGCTGGCGGGAGCGAGGACCGCCAGGCAGGCGGAGGAGAGGCGAGGGTCGCCAGGCAGCGGCAGAGGAGGAGGTGTTGCTTGTTCAAGAAGATTGGTCAGACTGAATCTCAAGGGAGAGACAGAGCTTATATACCCCGCAGCAGCGGCTATGAGTCATGGTGGGAAAACCCAAGAAGTAGCCGGTGACTAGTTCCGTTGCTAAGATACGGCGGGCATTGGAATGCAGATACGCTTGGTTGCTAGGGAAGATGGTAACAGGTGGTGGCGTGGCTACGCAGTTAGGCAGTTGTAGGGGAGACGTCCACTACAATACTCCCCCTCCCCTCCAGGCGGTGTAGGAGACTTGTTGATTGTAGAGTTGCTTAGCACATGTGAGGCAGACCGGGCGGTGCATGCCTCATGTGAGACAACGGCGATGGCGTGATGAGCCGATCGCTGAAATACAACTGTCTAGATACACACTATCTGTGGGAGAAGGGAGAAGAAAAAGGGTGTGTGGAGGCGATGGATGTTGTGCTTCCCTCACGACAGGTACAGGGTCGTCAGATGCGCCTGCTGGGGTGTGTGTGGGCCTGGATCAGGAGCAGGGGCTGGGTCAGCAGAAGCAGATTAGGGCTCGTGACAGCAGCTGGGTCCACGACAGTAGCAGGGTGCAGGACATTAGCAGGGAGTACCTGAGGGAGAAAAGAGGGTGTGTGGGGGTCCGGATTCAGGAACAGAGGCCGCGTCAGGGGTTATTGCTGGGCCGGGGTCGGCGTCTGAGGCATGACGGGTGTGCTGGGGTCATCAGAATGTGGTGCGTGAGGCAGGAAGAGGAGCTGGTGTCTGCTTGAAGACTGGGAGCGTGATCAGTGTCTCCTCCATCCTGTGTGAGTGCTTGTCTCCGGGAGTCACCATTGTAGGGGTATCGAGATATTAATGTTGTCTAGCACTCAGGATGGAAGGAAACTCTAATGTGGTTTTCTTGTATAATATAAGATATATAATAGACAGTCTGGTGCTGGAGGTGCTGTGTGGTGAGGGGCTGCTTGGTAGAGACGTGCGGTGAGTAGCTTGTAGTGGACTTCTCCCCTACAAACTGCGTATCGCATTCCAATGTGCCGCCTTCCCTAGCAACCAAGCGAGAGCTGTCCCCAGATGTTACCGTATCTTAGCAACGGAACTAGTCACCGGCTACTTCTCGGGTTTTCCCACCATAACTCATAGCTGCTGCTGCTGGGCATATAAGCTCTGTCTCTCCATTGAGATTCAGTCTGACCAATCTTCTTGAACAAGCAACACCTCCTCCTCTGCCGCTGCCTGGCGACCCTCGCCTCTCCTCCGCCTGCCTGGCGGTCCTCGCTCCCGCCAGCGAGCATGTCCTTCTCTGAGCTTCCTCACCAACCAACTCTCATTCTGCCCATTTTCCTGAACAAGCAACATCTCCTCCAGCAAGCTCCACGCTGTTAACATTTCATTCAACCAGGAGGCCAGCAACAGGCAACATCTTCTCTAACGAAGCTCCGCACATCTACCTCCTTCAACACGCTACACACGGAACGTCTTCTATTGAGCAGCTCCCCACCACACGGCACCTCCAGCACCAGACTGTCTATCATATAACTTATATATTATACAAGAAAACCATATTAGAGTTTCCTTCCATCCTGAGTGCTAGACAACATTAATATATCGATACCCCTACAAGCTTGTTGAAGGAGGTAGATGTGCAGGAGCTTCGTTAGAGAAGATGTTGCCTGTTGCTGGCCTCCTGGTTGAATGAAATGTTAACAGCGTGGAGCTTGCTGGAGGAGATGTTGCTTGTTCAGGAAAATGGGCAGAAATGAGAGTTGGTTGGTGAGGAAGCTCAGAGAAGGACATGCTCGCTGGCGGGAGCGACGACCGCCAGGCAGGAGGAGGAGAGACGAGGGTCGCCAGGCAGCGGCAGAGGAGGAGGTGTTGCTTGTTCAAGAAGAATGGTCAGACTGAATCTCAAGGGAGAGACAGACCTTATATACACCCAGCAGCGGCTGTGAGTCATGGTGGGAAAACCCGAGAAGTAGCCGGTGACTAGTTCCGTTGCTAAGATACGGCGGGCATTGGAATGCGGATACGCTTGGTTGCTAGGGAAGACGGTAACAGGTGGTGGCGTGGCTACGCAGTTAGGCAGTTGTAGGGGAGACGTCCACTAGAAGTTCCTGTTAATTACACTCCTGTTGGTAGTAAGCAAATGTTAAACACCGATGTGGTGAGATGTGTCACACTAGAAACTATTAACAGACACATAGAGAGTATTAAATCAAGTGAATGTTATGCTTTTACTGATGGTTCTGTGCAGACAAACACAGGTAGAACAGGCTGTGCAATTGTAATATATAAAGAAAAAGAGATGATTGTGTCAAACAAACAAAGGCTGCACAACTGGGCCAGCACAACACAAACTGAACTAACTGGAATCTACTTAGCTACAGAATACCTCAAAGGAAATGGAGGTGGGGTGATATTCTGTGACTCTCAAAGTGCTTTGAAATCAATGAACAGCCCGTCAGGCTCTATGTCTAAAGTTGCATGTGATATTAAAAGGAATGTGATAACTGCCAATGAGAACAACTTTCGTATCGAATTTGTGTGGATTCCGTCCCATGTTGGAATCAGGTATCATGACCATGCTGATAGACTGGCCAATGAGGCATGTAAGAAAGAAAATGTTGACCGCGACCTTGGTCTGTCCAATGCCGTAATTAAAAACATTCAAGTCAGAATCATGAACTCTGATCTAGAAGAAGTGAGAAATGTAGAGAGACCTGACAGTTGTAGCATTAGTAAATATGACAAATTTTGTAACAAGAGGTACCGGTATGGCCAGCATAAGGACAGAACCAGACAATGTGATGTAGTCGTGGCCAGAATTAGGCTAGGATACAGACACATCTGGCAAGTTAGTAACGCTGTACCCATACCGGAACACTCAGCATGTAAACTTTGTGATAAACCTTTAAAGCATACACTTGAACACTATATTATTGAATGTGACACTGTCAAAGACTTCAGGCCACCTGACTTATTGTATCTTGAACTATGTAATTACTTCATTGAATCAGGTGTGCTTGAGGACATTCTTGCTGTTTATCCCAAATTTGCTAGCCCACACTGATTAGTCTTCAATTAGAATATGACTCCAATGTATGTGATCCACTGACCTATATATGCTGCTGGTGAATGTGATGTATTTCCTTCTTTGTGTACGAACCTCTGTCCTGCGTGGCAGTGAACAGTGGCATTACCCACATGAATCTGACCTATATATAGTGTCAATGAATATGATGCATTCTTTGTGTACGAACCTCTGTCCTGTATGGCAGTGAAAAGTGACATTACCCACATGAATCTGACCGACGTATATGTATGTATGTGTGCGTGTGTGCATGTATATGTACGTGTACATGTATGTGTGTATGTATATACGTATATGTATGTATATGTGTGTGTGTGTGTGTGTGTGTGTGTGTTTACATATATGTATATGTACTGTCAATGAATATGATGCAACTCTTTGTGTACGAACCTCTGTCCTGCATGGCAGTGAACAGTGACATTATCCATTTGAACCTGACCTATATACATATATAGTTGTTAATGAATATGATGTATTTCTTTGTGTGTGAACCTCTGTCCTGCGTGACAGTGAGAAGTGATACCACCCTCAGTGTCAAGACCTGACTGAATTACTCAGAATAGGCAAACTGTACTACAAGCTCTGCCAATAAATTTGTTAAACTAACTAAAAAACCCGTGTGATTTTATCAAGATTTATCTTATCCACGTTTTCATTGTGGATCTACATGAAATATATATATATATATATATATATATATATATATATATATATATATATATATATATATATATATATATATTGTGCATGATTGATAATTAATGAAAATTTTATGTTAATGTTAATATTTGCATGTAGCATGTTAGATGAAATATTATAATACATGAGTAACCAAGACACAACTTGAGTTTTTTGGTTTTGTTTGTTTATTTCAATAAAGATAAACAATAAGAATGCCTTTTCATAGCCAAGAACTCTATTGAAAACAAGGTAATTTATTCCCCAAATTTATGTCACGGCATGACAGGTGATTCATCACTTGCAGTAATTGTATGATAATTGTGCAGGAGAAAAGATTTTTGTCTTAATTTCTGAACTCACCTAAGATTTTGAGGCAATGGAGTCAGTGAAATTATACTGTAGGGTTTTCATCCTCTCTTTATATGTATACACACATGCATACATAAATTAAGATTGATATGTATAAAAATAAATGGAAAACGTAAAAAATATCACTCATGACGTCACATCAACGTCTATGACGTCACGAATAGCTTTTGGACGCAGCCAATAGGTGGCGCTATTATTGAGGTATTTGGTAACTTCTCCGTACACACATTTCATATATTTAAGCTAGAACTTTCCTATCTTGAGTAGAGTATCTTTGTTTGTTTACCTACTGCAGCTGAGTACTGCTGCTGCCTCCCAATGGTCGCCCGCCTGGCGCCAAATATGATTTATTTCATCTTCTTCACAGTCTTCGCCACTGATTGGCCCGCTAGCCGCTTGGGTGGTTAGTAACGTCTTTATCACGAACTGTAACTTCAAGCAGAAACAAATTACTGCTATAATTTGAAGGTCGTTACTTACGAACCGATAGTGGGATATGTGCTTCAGTGTAAAGGACTAGTTTTTAATCTTTCCCACCACCCTTGGCGAGCAGTTCTCTATCAATTTGGGGGAACTACTATAATTACTAAACTAGTATATACGATTTTACTTTCTAGACCATTGACCCACAATGTGTTCACAGAAGAGGTTATAAGAAATAAACTGTCAATGCTAAAGATCCATAAGAGTCCCGGCCCTGACATGTTGCATCCCAGAGTGCTAAGAGAGTTGCGCAACGAGCTTGCCGAGCCCTTGGATGAACAAAAGGTCCCCAGTGATTGGAAAATGGCCTACGTGAGTCCTGTCTTCAAGAAGGGCGATCGTCACTCCACGAACAACTATAGACCGGTGAGCCTGACCAGCATAGTATGTAAAGTTCTAAGAGAATTATCAGAGATGCCACTATGGAACATCTACTACGAAACAACCTTGTAAAGGATTGCCAACACGATTTTACGCCGGGGCACTCCTGCTTTACACAAATACTCAAGGTATTGGATATTTGGGACCATATTCTGGAACGGGGTGGTAATATCGACAATATATAGCCTACCTAGATTTTGCCAAGGCTTTCGACAATGTATCCCCAAGAAAGGCTGAAAATTAAACTGGAAGGGTACGGAATTCGGGGAAATGTCCTAACGTGGATAGAAGACTTTCTACATGACCGTAAGCAGTTTTTTCTCTTTTTCTTTTTACGGGGATTAGCCCACCTGGGCACAGGTCACCGACCCACATCGGGACTTTGGAGCGAAAATTTAATAATAATAATAATAATAATAATAATAATAATAATAATAATAATAATAATAATAATAATAATAATAATAATAATAATAATAATAATAATAATAATAATAATAATAATAATAATAATAATAATAATAATAATAATAATAATAATAATAATAATAATAATAATAATAATAATAATAATAATAATAATAATAATAATAATAATAATAATAATAATAATAATAAGAATAATAATAATTAATAATAATAATAATAATAATAATAATAATAATAATAATAATAATAATTCATAGTAAATAAAATTTATAATAAATAATGCAAAATTGAAAAGAAAATAATAATAATAATAATAATAATAATACTGCAATAATAATAATAATAATAATAATAATAATACTGCAATAATAATAATAATAATAATAATAATAATAATAATAATAATAATAATAATAATAAAATATCAAAAGTGAGAAACAATATAGCTTATGTATGTTGTGTTGTCAATAGTAAGAGAAACAATTGAGACCCTGCAATTGTGTGTAAACGAGGCAGAAAGTCAGATCAGCAACCTGGGACTTGGTCACAACTTTCGTGATGATATATGGCAGCAGGGTCTACCATTAGACAACACATTATGCTTCCAATATCTTCCCAGGCGGTAGTACCTCCCTGTTTGGTAGTTACCTACTTCCTAATGTGTGGTGGTTAATGGCACGGAATCATCATCTATACCTGTCACAAGCGGGGTACCACAGGGCAGTGTATTGGGCCCGCTTTTGTATGTTTGTTTCATAGATGTCACGCTTGACGCTGTACATTCCCCCATACAAATGTTTGCGGATGACGCCAAGTTATTTCGGGAAATCAAGAACAATCAGACTGTGAAGAGCTGCAGCAGGATCTCTGTGGGCTCCAAGAATGGTCGAAGAAATGGCTGCTGAGATTCAATGTCACGCAGTGTAAGAGGATGCACCTGGGGCGTAAAGAGGAGTATCATATGTCCCAACGGGATGAAGAAACTGCACTATTTGAGACAACGTGAGAAGGACCTAGGTGTGTCTGTTGACAATGAGCTGAAGTTCTCGCGCCAGTGCGAAAAGAAAGTAAATCAGGCACATAAATTATTAGGTCTTTTAAGAAGGTCGTTCAGATATTTGGACGATCCGTCCCTCGTAACGATCTTCAAGAATGAAGTGCTTCCCCATCTGGAGTACTGTCACCCCATCTGGTCTCCGAGATATGCTAGGAACTGTCAGTTGGTTGAAAATGTTCAAAGGAGGGCCACCAGACTGGTTCCTGCACTTCGGCACCTCAACTACCCTGAGAGATTGGAGCGCCTGAAATTGCCTAGCTTATACTACAGACGGGCAAGGGGGGACCTAATTGAGGTGTATAAGCATCTCAAGGGGCACTACTCAGTCGAGTGTCCTTACTTGGAGCTGGCTCAAGGTTGAAGAAGCCACAGGCTCATTATACTGTGAGGGGTAACTTTTACGGAGTGATAGTTGTGAACTCTTGGAACAGTCTATCAGAGAGTGTTGTGACGGAACCGAGTGTGAGCTCTTTCAAGACAAGACTTGACCAACACTGGAGCAGGTTCAGAACTTCAGATACATTCAGGAGCCGGTGCATGCCCAGTACTTGCCAACAGTACGTAACAGAGACGTGCCCGATCGCCCAAGCGATTACATTTGTATTAAAACAAACATTAGGAATGATTCATATTAACTGCATCATATATTAATTGTGATTTTGTTTATATCGTGGTGTCAGAAAGTTTAAGAGACGGCACGATAATTCAGTTACATGTAAAACAATAGTGATGGTTGGGTACGACACTGATTACTTGTGCGGTAAACATTCCAGGTGGACGAAAATAAACACCTGCGAAGAATTTATACAGTGAAACGGAAAAGTATCCCGAGGTCTTCATTAAATTCAAATTTCCCTTTATATGTATATGTTATAATTGTATATATATATATAAGGAGCAAATCTAGTTGAGTGAGCGAGGATGGCGGACGAGACATTGGCTAAGGCAGGACTTTACTTTGATGAACTCAATAAGATCAGAGTGTTAGAGCCTGAGGTTGCCCAGCAGACCTCCGAGTTGAAGGATGAATGTAAAGAGTTTGTTGATAGTAAGTAATAATACCGTGGTGAGTTTAGGTGGAATACATGTATGTGCACCCCCAAATTCTCCCTTTTAGTACTTGTTTGGTGTCATTGTAATCCTACTGATTCATATGCAATATCTGTCATTTCAGAAATACGTGACTTTCATGAACGAGCTGATCACTTTATTCAGGTTGCTGACAATCTGAGTGCAGCTGTGGAGTCAGAAAAAATGAGAGCTATTGGTTCAAGAAACTTAATAAAGAGCATGAGTAAGCAGCGGGAGGCTCAACAGCAGCAGCTACTGGTTTGTGTTTGATACTGTAGTATTTGTAAGATTGTTTGCATTTACAGTAAACTCTGGTTAATATGTGATTTGTTACAGCAGTTCACTTCTAAACATTGAGTCACTATAGGAATTGTAGAAAGTGTGATTGAGGAATTGGCAAGGGAAAAGTGGACGTTCATGAAGTACCGTTTGCCAATATTGTGAAGTAAAGTTTGGCCCCAAGCCAAAATAGGTGTGAAAACAATGCTCTTATTCAATAAGTTCAGAATTAAGGAAATTGAGGATTTACTGCAAATCAAAACCAGCTTGCAGAATTCTTGAACATATACAGGACTATGCATTGGTTGTAGGTCACTTAATTTCTTTACCTTTACTTTAATATAAGTACAGCATTATATTGGTCTAATGTGTGAAAATAAATTCTGTAGTTCTGTCAGTGTACCTTAATATTATCATTCGTATAGCTTATCTTTTCAGGCATTAATTGGAGAAAAGAAGCTGGAACTGGAAAGGCTGCGTGTCCAGTATGAATCCCTTCAGCGTACTGAGGCAGAACAACTTGAGTTTATTGAACAATTTATAATGCAGAAGTGAAATATGACACACCATGTAGCACTATTATTGATGTAGCATTTAATAGGGTTATCCTGCCAGGTCTACACAATAATGACACGAGCAAATAAATAAAAAACCTTGTAACTTTGGGGTTTTCTTTTGTATATCATAGTACAAGATAAAAATTACCTTAAAAAGAGGGCACTTGGTATGAAAAAGAGAGGTTCCTGACCTGATGCCCCGTGTTGACAAAAGAATGGTACTGTACTGTACCTGTACAGTGAACTCTTCGGTGGAGAGGCACAGGTTGTGGTGGAGTGGTTCTGCCACAATTAGCTTGGATGTATAACAAGAACAAATACATATCTGCGAGAATATGTAGCACATAGCGAAAACTGTTCACTAATTTAAAAATTTTGTAAATGTTAATAAGTACAGTACTGAAAGTACCTGCTTGTTGTGTGTTTGTTGTCAAGTTGCTAATGAATTAGGGAAGGTGCCCATATAGCATCACACCCTAACATGATGCCTGCATAACATCCAGCAAGTGACAATGCCATGCCTAGCACAAAGAAAATCAGGTAAACAATTCCTGTACCTTGGGCACCTAATTGAAGGTTGTACGACAGTACTGTATAGTGCTGGTGTTGCTCTAGGTTTGCCTCTCATGAAATCACTCAGTTTACATGATTCTTACATGTTATATGCTTATTTTCTTAATGTCACGAGTAGTAAAAACAGGTGTAGACAGTAGTTGAATGCAAACTGTTACTGACTGGTGGCTGTGGTTTCATTGATGAACATGTTGGGAGAGGAAAGAGATGCTCAAACCTCTTATTCATATTTTTATACTGTGTTGTATTTCATATTCTGTATACAGTACAGTACTGTATTTTCAGCCATATAAGGTACACTTTTTTCCAAAAGAAAAAAATCACAAAATTACCCAGGATATTATGATGGTTAACCCTTAAAAGATCTGATTGACACACTGGTTCCTAGACAACCCCAGTTGCCATTTAAATTCGGTTTACACCAAGCCTCACATGGCTCCAACCCTCCCACCCAGGGAGCAACAACTTGGCCCAATATGGCTGTACACCATGTGTCTAAGAGCAACAAAACACTCGGGTATTTTTATGTACAGTACTACATACATGTATTTAATGCATTTATTTTTTATCATTTTATATTATTTTTTACATCTAGATTTATGTATATACTGTACAGTATTATGTTTTTATTTATATTTAAGGGTTTGTGTATTAAAAATCACTCCAAGTACTCTGTACCTCCAAAATTGACTTGAATTATTTTTCACGTCTTATGTGATAAAAAAAATTTCGCAGGAACCTAACCACCCCTATTTACATTTTAACTTATGAGAAAAATTTATTCACTGTGTTGTTTTTATTGTTTTTTAAATGACACCTCTGAGAAATGCATACTGAATACCGGTAAGACATTAATTGGGGACTCTGTGTGTAGTCAGGACAACCAGTACAAAAATGTTTTAGAAAGAAAAACTATCATCTTCAAAACATCAAGTCATATTAATGCAAATACTGTATTGTTATTAGTCATCAACAAAACTTTCTGCACCTTTATGGTGTTATACAATATGATACACCGGACCAAGAATTCTGAACAACTCTCATTTACGCGGGTGATTCCTGTTAATTTCTCTGTATTAACTTTTAGTGATATAAAAAATACTTCATACTGGGTATACAATGCATCACACAACCAGAAATTCCAACCTTACCAAATTAATATGGCCCCAGTGATCATTGCAGAGGCCATCAGACCAAGGGGTGCAGAAATTTTTTTTGCTGCCTGTACACATCAGTTACTGTAACCTGTGGTCATGTACTGTACCACAGTATATAAACTGAGTCAGCTGTGTTGCGGTGAGTTTTAGGGATGAAAGGGGTTTAACATTTACAGTGCAATGGTCAGTTTAAAGCACAGCAGTCACTCTGCTGCCAATCTAACACAACAGTCGAGATTTACATAATGTTTAATGACAATATTCCACCAATAAAGTTTCAAATGTATAAGAATGTCCATATGTCCCTAGAACTGAGATAGTATTAACGCAAGTATGATTTTTATTGCAGTTATGAGAACTGAGCATGTAATCACAGCAGTACATGCAATTAAAAGTACTTGTAACATTAAGGTTAAGTAAAGTACACCACTAATATGGCCAAAACTGTTTAATAACATTTTCACTTGCTTAATTCTGCAACATTACCAACAAAAATTAATGTTCTTTGGTACTTGTTGCTTCACTGCAAGTTCTGAAATACTAAATATGGTGAGGTGAAAGTAGGCAGGAGTATTAACTACAGCCCAGGTCTTGTTCCTTTATACAGTAATTGATGCAGTGGATTGGATGATTAATGTACAGTATTGGCAAGCTTGTCAGCTGATGCCCGAGGCTCCCAGGCCCCTCTACTTGTGCAACTAGTCTGTATACTGTACCAGAAGTTCAGTAAAAAACAACAAATTAAATATATTTTTTAATTTCAATGAAGATTTCTCCATAAGATGTATTATTTTTTTTTATTTATTAATAATATATATGTTGGACATAAAAGCTGTCTATTTCTGATGGGACCATCCCCAATGGTCCAGCCCTTTGGATACTGGTTACATACCTGAAAAAACTCGTCACGTCAAAATATCATAAATTGGAATCATTATAACATGGGGTTTAATGGGATACGTTCCCATCCAGTCTGACACCCACATGTATCACCGAAAATAAAATTCCTACAACACAATTAAATAACACTCACAGCAATAAGAGCAAGACTGGTCATCATTACTTGTTCCTTTCGAGGGGGGACTCTTGAAAGTGGAGTGGAGACACCTCTGGGCTCCCACACAACTTCACCTCCAGACAGTTTTCCTGGGTGTCTTGGCTTTCCCAGACATCTGTTACTACAGTACTGTATTTCATAAAATTGTTAGCTACCTAGAAAAAATCAAAGTGAAAGTATAGTGAGTCTGGTAGTTACCAGATACCACTTTCTGATTGAAAGTTTATGGAAATCATGACATCACTGATTTGGGCGATTGTACACTTGTCGTAAGTCCTTTGTTAGATTAGTGTTACAAAGTTTACCACAACCAATCCCAAGTGCTTGCAAAATTGTGATGTTCAACCACGTCTAAACTTTGGTAGATATAAAATAACTCCTCACTACAGCAGAACTTCATGAAGGTTATCACTTGAAAGTTTATCTCATTTACTGGTACTGTAAGTTCACAAACATTCTCTCAACCTTCTTCAACAATGGAGTTTTGTCAACTTTCACCTGATCATTATTCAATAAAGGCAGCAGAGGATAACTAATAATTATTGTAATGGGCTGAGGCTACATACAAATCTGAGCATGTGTATTGATATACTGTATTGTACTGGGTGAAATTTAAAAAAGAACGACTGACACAAATTTTATTTAGAAGACATTGCAGTCAAATACAGAAAATACATCTACATGCATGGAAAGCCAGATTCCTATGGTGAGCATATTTTGGTATAAATTATATAATAAACTATAAGTTGGTGCTGTTTAAAATAAACATGAAAATAATACAAAAATGGTGAGAATAGTATTATGGTATTATAATTATTAGGCTTACCTTTTTTAAGAGATTACATTATTAAATGGAAACCAGAATAGTCTACCATTATTTTAGTACTTACATATACAGTAGCTTATACTGAAAGGATGGCACCTTCATTTTCAAAATGTTCAAGGCCACAATTTTCTTCTCCATTATTGATGGAACTTCACATACCAAGTGTAACACAACAGACATAATGGTCATTTAATATACTGTATTCTTAATTTTAATTCAATACTTCACTTACTTGTAAATGCATTACTGCTGAAGAACATCATTTGTTAAAAGAATTTGCTTAAGGCCACTATTTTCCACTTAAGGATTTACCTTTTTCTTGCCTACAACACTCATAATTTGTTTTATACAGTAGTCATTCAAGCTTCAAGCACTCAATAGTCTTGCAATCATTGCTATTTCCTAGTGTGTATAGCAATGGGGTAAGTATTAGTAATGTAGGAGATGCAGAACCTTAATGTGTTTATTAGACCTCAGGGAGATCAGGTGTTACAGAATGTTATCTTGAATGAACGTATAGATCAGGGACCAATATATAGTCACCTGGTACAGTGGCTGGTGCATTTTGTGAGATGTGGCAACTCTTGTCTCGTTTGTTTACATCGTATTAAAAATCCCGGAATGGCCCTATGGAACCTTGCAATAGTAGCCACATCTCACATAACACATTAGCTACTGTACCAGGTGTAAATGCTGGTGACTGTACATGTTAGTTTCTTTGCAGTATATTGAGAAAAAGATGCTGCTGCAAAGATTGGTCGAGTCTTCAGTGAAATCAACGAGACCATTAGAATTATTATTTTTTCTTAGCCTTTATGGACCATCTATAGATTAGCCCCTTTATTATTTAACGAAGTTTCACCATCCTGAAACTATTGTGGTAGGTTAATCTTTGTTATCCAGACAGACTAAAATTGCAAATGGTCTTGATTACATCGCAGTTCTTCAATTTATTACTTTAATATGTCAGGGCACCATTATTGCTCTTGACAGCTACTAATTTTAAAGGATATTAATCGAGGCTTTAGTCAATTAAGAGTAGTGTATTCTTAACCAAATATTGCCCAAAGAAAACTTTTACCTTCCTCTACTATTATTATCATCTATGAAGCTTGCCCATCTTTACTTAGTTCCTTCCTGTAGTGGGTAATAAATGGCCAAGCCCTTAATTTTTATAGAACAGTACTAAGACTTCTAATTCCAGCTGCCAATACTTACTTAAGTTCAGTGATTGCTGAAAACTGCAGTACATACTGGTGACCCTTGTTTTATGCTGGGGTTGTATTCCAAGAAAAGTACACATGGAGAGCCATTTGTTACATGTGCAATATTTAATAGTTGTTCTACTATCCCCCCCCCCCCAAAAAAAAAGAACAACTGTATAACATTAAAAGATTGTATACAGTACTCACCAACCTGGCCATTTTCCTTCAGGTCTGGTACTCAATATACATTCCAAACTTCTCCAATTTTCCAGCTAGACACTCTTGTCGGCTGTCTCTTAATTGTGTGCACATACAACCTCACCTACTTCAGCTTGCCTCAATATATCTAGCTGCTTCATCAATGAATAAATAGAAGGATTAGGATATGCACTTGAAAGTCCCTTAAGCAACTTAGCACTATTCAATGGCAAATCCAGACACTACAAGATGGGATGACAGCATTGTAGGTCTGCATATAACAATGGACAATGCAATACTAAGTGAGGGAGCACGTGGGATGCCTCGCATAACTACTCACTGACTGTTTCACCCACTCCTGTAAGGCATCATGAGTCCCAACTGCATAAAGGAGTACTACCTACCACACACCTACACTGGTAGAACTCACTCCATACATCCAACCCACCAGCTTCATTTTTAGCAAAATTTTCTTTGTCCTGCAAGAATGGTAAAAATAATCTTTGAATATTAATGAAATTGCATTAAGTGAAGCAGCATAGAGAGAGAGCCACCTGTACCTTCGTTTATCACATTGGCAGTGGAGATAGTCAGTATTTGATATGCTGGCCATTATATATATATATTTTGGGTTCAAATGGTTTAATTAAAGTCTCCATTTAAAAGAATATTTCAAGAAAATTTGAAGAGTATTTAGCTTAAGATAATTAAAAATACACCAATTTTCAATGTAATAAGCAAACGTGATGGAACATTTATTAGAGCATTATACATAACACTAAATTAAAATGAGCAACCATATATCCCTGCTATACTGTACATTCAGTCACAAACAGTTGAAGTGGAACTTAAAATAAGAGCTTAGAGGTACAATTCTGATGTAGTTTTAGTACAACACAGAAAAGGCATACAGATACAGGATTTAAATTTTCCATAGCTAAATGTTGTATGAAAGTCTTAAAAGAAATGCTATTAAATAAAGTCTTAATTTGTGCCATAATAGTCAAATACAACTTTAGAGACTTCCTTTAAATGTATTAACACATTTTTAGGGAAGTAATGACATGGCTGTACTGTACATATACAAAAGTAACAGAGGAGTAAAATATATTGCTAATACAGGAAGCAAACATTATTCTAACACTAGTTGCAGGTGACTATCCTTGACTAAGCTTACAACAAAACTTGTTAACTCTCCATAAAACAGAATAAATGGCTTGTTCAATAAAATTGATAAAATCTTAACCAGTTGCTACCAATGAAAAATTACTTGTTAAATAGGGGGAGAAAGAATATATATATATATATATATATATATATATATATATATATATATATATATATATATATATATATATATATATATATATATATATATATATATATATATATATATATATATATATATATATATATATATATATATATATATATATATATATATATATATATATATATATATATATATATATATATATATATATACTGTATATATATATATTTTTTTTTTATTATAATCTTCCTTACTGAAAGCACTGTTACATTTCATGACTTTTATACAAATTTCAGATATGCTATTTTTGATACATTAAATATTTTTAAAATATTCAATATTTTAAAGATCTGGTTATGGCAAAAGAGTTTGAACACAACCTATATGTAATAAAATGAGCAATTACATAAATTACAGAAACTGCTTTAGAGCCAATATAAACTTGAGGTGAAAAGATCGCAAGTACTTTACATATTATTTTTCCATAACTCCCTCAAGAACAAACTGTGAAGCTTAGGTAAACTTTTGGATTATGTTGCATCCTAAGAAAATTTTGGAAGGAATTGAGTCTTTCACAGCCTTTCAAACTAATCAGCTTAATAAACCTCAACTGGAACATCGAAAGCTCCGAAGCAGAATATGTTGCATATCAGGTATGATGTCCGTGAAAGTAGCAAAGATACAAGGTAGCACATTTTGTGATAACTGAAGATCTTATGCCATTTTTATGTACTAATTCTTGTGAGTGAGGATCTACTAAGCAATGTGCTATTCTTAAAAGTGCTAATGTCTTCCTAGCAATAAGATTACAATTCCTTTGCAAATTTAAATCTTAGGCCTACAAAAATATGAAAAACACGTCAGCACATTGAGATCACTTAACAATAACACAAATGACCCCTACAGCAGACAACACTACAGCTGACTGAGGGAGCAGATGGACGCCAAGTCTCCCTATCACAAAGGTAACGCTGGAAAAGCGGAAACTTCCCTCTGTGACATGGACACCAGACCCTAACCCCAGCTAAAGTTGTGTTCCTTAGTGCAAAATTGAGGAAGTCTGTTATACTGAGGACTATGCAAAATGAAAAGCATTACATAGTCATGTTAAACTTACACAAATTAGTTGTCATAGTAGGATTTTGTTTTACAAGGTTGGGTGGTACTCAATGTTGCACTCCAACAATATTAACTAGCTAAGCAAACTTAACCCTATGCACAAACTTAATTCACTTAATAACTAGATGGATGAGCACCACTGCAGGGAGTGAATCACATGAGGAGTAGGATGCTAGCTCCCAATGCCTCCCTGACTGTAAGTTAGGAGGCACTAACAGCTAACTGTTACAGCCTGCAATGGCACTGGTAAAAAATGGCCTACCTGACACCACTTACCCTACCTAAGCCCCAGTTCAGAATATAGACAATCTTGGATCATATTTTGACTAGGAAAAATTCTTAACCAATGATCCAAGTTTGCTCAAACAACAATATTATAATACATGACAAAAATAGAAAACTTGACTAATCAAGCAGATTAAAAAAAGTAAATTATGAGCAGCTGCAAACTGATATCTAATAAATCCAGTTATAGCTGGCATAAGTGCCCTTCACTTGCTAAGTTGCACCTGTTCAAAAATAACTAAATCTCTTAGTCCTTGGATGGCACTTAAATAAAAAAATAAAGGTTTTTTCAACACCTGCTTTATTATAATGTAAACTGAATTTTGTAAAAGCATTCATTACTAATATTGAAATAACAAGGTGGTATTGTATCACACAGAGACTGTTTATGCTGCAGATATACTGTATATTGTGGTGCAGGCTAAAAAATTATTATGAAAAATCAGTGAACAGAGAGAATGACTTGTAAAAATCTGAACATATGATTGAACAAAAAACAATGACTAGTTATAGTTCATTCCGAGCATTTTCAAGATGATCAGGTTGTTCATAAACTAGTATTGAATACTGTATTGCCTTTTAGCCTTATATCGGGAAGAATTTGTTAATTTTTCTTTTTTTCCAGACAATATGTACAATAAAAGTTAATTTAAGATTAAGAGATTGATGTATCCAAGACCCATTTATTTATCGGGTAAATGTCCGATCTCCAAATAATAAATTTTTATTACAGTAACAAAGAAAGTGACCTACAATTGGTTGTGAGTAGCACATGGCATGTATGGGCCATGGGTACAGTGAGAAGTATGTGCAAGTTTAGGGCACAGGTGAAAATTTCTCTCGGCAAGCCAGCCACGAAAGAAATCATAAGAGCTGACAAAAAAAACAAAAAATACCATTAATTCTAGAATTACAACATTCTATTTGACCTTTAATAGTTAAGTGTATTGAAATATCCCTTTTCCGAATAAATTCATTTAAAGATCAATACTAGACCATGAAATAAAATAAATGCTGATGTGTTGATTAAATTTGCAAGAAACAATTTCTTCATACTGCTAAAATAAAAGATTTTATAGATCATTTATCTTTACATTTAAGCTGTAATTCAAATTGTTGTTGAAGACAATCTGTACATCTTAATTCCATAATACAAAAGCATGAACCACAGTAAGACAAGTTATAACTAAACCAACAGTAAAGTTATGTTAAGAGAAATATTTCCTCATTATATTTTAAGTCTGAATGACTTGCTTATACTTTATAAAAGTCACATATTTGTGCGCACTGATAAAAGCATTAAACACCATGATTTAACTCTAGGTACAGTCACTGATTTTACATTCTGATATTATTAGTACATCGATTAAATACTAAGATGATACGTATATAAGACGAAGAATTAGTTACAGTTAAACTTAAAAAGAAAAGTAAGTCTGAAAAAACCATTGAAACATAAACCACTAGTGCACAACTGAGTCTGCAAAAGGCACTTTACTTGCTTCTTTAAAAACTGACTCCTACTCCATAAAAGTAATAAGAATAACCAAAATTACAAAACCTTTATCATCACTTACGTAACACTTTTTCTCAGTCAACAAGTGATATCCAAGACATTACAGTACTGTATTTCTTAACGTGAGAGACTACTAATGCTTCCCTTTCACTTCAGTCCATGATGCAACACAGTGTTCCCTAGTGTGAGTGTACAGTTACCCATGAATTAGATTACAAAGAACAACATTACAGAGAATACAGTATAAAAGTTCTTCAACAAATGGTCTTGAATGTAGAATGAAGCACAGCAAACAAATACTGTAGGCTGACAAGATACTTTCAAAGATATTGTTAGACTAAATCACTCCTATTAACCATATTGTGGATCTTGTTAAAATAATATCAAATGAAAGATGATTTTCTTTAAGGTTTTCTTTCTCTAAGTGGTGGCTATTACAGGGTTTGCTATACACAGTTATGCAAGCTTTATTCCATCTTATCTGATTATTATTCCTTTTCTTTTTTCTTTTTGTGTAATGCTTAACCCATTAAGGTACATGTTATGGAAGTTCACACTGATGGCAAAGTATGTACTTGAAAGACCTAGATTCTGTATGGAAACTGTATTATTCCAAACAATATCATTAGTAAATTATAAATGGTACATGAATAGAATTAATGACTACACGCTATTAAGAAAAGACACGTGTGTAACATGCAATATTGACATTTTGTGTAAGAATTCGGTTTAACTAAAACAATGCAATTACACCAATCATGTATAGTACGTACACTATCATCAACGTTTTACAGCCATTTTCCATAATTATGTGGACTAGCCGATCAGTACGCCATACAGTATCAAATTATAAAAGCGTGGATACTGATTATGACGTTTAACAATTACAAAGTTAAAGAGAAAATTTTTAACTAAACCACAGGTCTAACACAAATCCTTCGAAGTTTTTTAACCATCAGATGCCACAATATTTTCCATGCTAAGTGTAGACTAAACATGGGATATTTACATTTTATATGACCAGAGGTTCCTTAGCTAACAAAACATTATAATCATCTTTTAAAAAAGGCAGCAAATTTGTGTATTTTTCCTTCTACTATATAAGGAAGGCTCTGTAAGGTTGTGTGTCTCTTGGTGTTTGCATTCATGTACAGTACAGTGAGGGGAAACACAATGTGTCATACAACAGTCAATTAAATTTCAGCACTGTGGCAATAAACCGTCTCACCTGTTGACTTTTATCTTGCTAAATGCATAAAATCCTAGACCATGGCAGTTTATATTACAAGTAAGTATTACTTAACACAATACCTAAGAAACTTTTTCGTAATTAATCATTTAAGTAAAATTTAACAACACAATAAACAAAATTTGCACTTAAAAAAACATATAATAATTATATGAGATAATAAACATTATTTGAACTCAATGTCAGGTAAAGAATCACAGCAACATGGTGGCACAGTTATAGCAGTGGGTCGCCAGCAGATAGTCTGATACTAAGGAGATACTCCATTAGCCAGGAGGATGGTTTACGGTATGAACACACATTCTACACCTTAAAGAACTGTCATAATCACCGGGATATTACAATGAAAATAAAACCCAATGTACTAATAATGTTCATTTTAGAATATATAATGACCACTAATAAAAAAAAGGGGGGATTATTCACAAAACATGTCAAGAACCACCAGGAACGTGCTTACTCTCTCAAGACAGAATAGAGCAACAGCAGTGAATCTCCACCCCTCCCCCCCACACTCATTCATACAAGGTCTCCAAACTCCTCTTTTTCAAGTATCTGTTATGGCATTCACTCGGACTATCTTCTAGCGACCGGCATAGCCAACTGTCCGCTGTACTGAGTGGATCAATAGAAGTGTGAAGTGTGCTGTGGGCTGGCTAGTGTCACAGGCAGCAAGGGATCGAGAAAAACAATGACTGTGAGAGTACAGTACTGTATATAAAATAAACTTGTTAATTTGCTGTAGAGTTGTAAAAGTGTCTGAACGATGATCATAACCCCTGCCGAGCCTTACCCACGCAAAATAAAATGTACTAAAAAAAAAAATCTTAAAAAGGTTTTCCTGGACATCAGCAAAGAACATCAATTGCACTTGACTCTAGTACAGTGTTCATCTGTATTGTTGAATCTTCACTAGCACATTATGCATTTTTGTACTTTATGGATGTACAGTACACTACAGTACATCCCATTGACTGAATAAAATGAAAATTCTTGGTTATTTACATCCAATATTGAATATTAATCCAATTGCAATATTGTATGCTTTTATATATAACACAACTTGATGATAAAATTAGAAATATGACTTGAAACATATTGCTTCTTCACCCAAATGGTCACATTTAAAAATTTTCACTTATGACACTCCTAACTAATTTAGACCATCTAAATGCATTTTTCCATACCTTGGTAATTTCCCTGAAAATGACAAGAAATACTGTAAATAGAATAAGTTGCCTCTCAGAAATTAAATCTCTAATATTGAGAAAAACTATTTTTTTTTAATTAATTCACAAATACTTAAATGTCCACCTTACACAAGTGCAAAATACAACCCTAATTTATTTAAATTTAAATTAGATTCCTTGACTGGCCATCATCTGAAGCTTCTTCAGGTGTCTTAATGCTCTTTTGGCTGCAGTTGATTTGGCTATGCGATAATTGCGGCCGACTCCAGAGAACGAACCCTTACCAAATATTTCCACCGATACCCTCACCTTACCGTCTACCAGGCGCTCTGGCTTTCCAAACTTGGCCGTCTCCGGTTCCATTTCCAACAATTCTCGAATAGGAGACTTGGGCACTACTCCACTGAACTGCTCTATCTCACGACACATCATGGTGTAGTACACAGACCACACTGCATCTAAAGAACCACCGGAGTCCAGGAAGATTGCCCCAGCCACACTTTCAAACACATCACCCAGAGCTTTAGGAACTTCAATATCTTCTGCTGCTTCACACTCATCTTCCTCCATGAAGTAATACTGTAAAAAGAACACTTGAATTAATACTGTATTTTTATTATGATTACAGATTGCCCCGGAGGGGGCTAGTTTATTGGGCACCCCCTTACATCTTGTGCAAGGTGAAGCACAGAAGCGTTTACAGTGCCCAACTGGGAAGCATGTGGAGTTCATGCTTGCCTTTATGACTCATGCATCAAGGGCGTGGAAGCCTGAAGGGTCATGGGTTTTGTCAGCAAGTTACATAAAGTGACAGAATGATGAGTGTGTGGGGGGGGAATTCCCGGTACATTTCATCTGTTTATAGCAAAGCGTGGCAGGTCCCTAATAATGTCAAGTGCCAGGCCCGTGACTAGGAGGAGGGATATCTGGTCAGGGAGGGAAGAGGTGTTGGTAACGGCTGGGAACCTGTAGGAGGAGGTCATAGGGCAAGTGAGGATGTAGTGACGGAGGGTGTGAGAGTCGGGTTGGCCACACAGTTTACAAACAGTGCGGCCAGGCTCACGGTTGCCAATGTACTCCCATAGGTACCTGTACCCAAGGCGCAGTCTCATGTCTATAATCTGTTGAGATCGAGTCAGAGATTGATACTCTTTGTAGTGGCGGTTGGAGTCACCGGTTACAGCGTCATAGGGGCATAGTGTGACGCTGCCCCGTTGTTTCAGGTGTGTCCATTTTACGTCGAATGCTTCTCGTTGTGTGGCGTGTATGCGAGATTTGAGATGATTCAGGGAGAGGGCGAGGGTGGCTTCAATATCTTCTTCTTGTGTCGCTTCTTTGGCAAATCGATCAACAGTGTCACAGGCAGTTATTCCTATATGTGACGGGCTCCAAATAAACTTGACACGGATGTCATCAGTTTGTTCTAGCCTGGCGACGGCGGCTTGGGTGTGTTGGGCGGCAGGGGAGGAGGGGGAGGGTAATTTGAGCCTCGCTAGCGCAGAAGTGCTGTCACTGAATTAAAATTTGTCTCCACTTGTGTTGGGGAATTGACCTCTCGTTAACTGCTGAGGAGTTGACAGGATTTGGTTCTTCCTCTTAATAAAAGGTTAGTTATCCTGTGTATGTATTACAGAGGTTATGCCCATGGCACCCTGCACAAAACACTGAAGAATCATATAAAATTCCAAAGTCACAAGACAATGTATGAGTTGCAACAGTACTTCTCATGCTGGGAAATGATAGTACTGTACAACACTTGTTCAGCATGAAGTGTCTAACAATGTAAAGTTTGGCATCCTGTAACTCGTGTAGAAAATAGCCATTAATTGATGATGATGATGAATGGACAGTAGGCATTAAAAGGTCAACAAGAACTGCAGATAATTTTTCGGTCTAGCACAGAAATCTTCGTGCAAGAATTAAGCAAAACAATCAACATTTTAATATATAAATATCCTACAAAAGCAAATTTAAAGACCACGGGGATGTGTATTAAATGTGGTTTCCCAAGGTTATTCATTTCTATTTGGGAGAGTATTAAGCTGAAAAAAGAAGAAAAAAAAAAGAAGACTAAACACTCCAGAAAACGAGGTAACAAGTCTTGATAATACCCCTCCAGTACTAAGGCAGTCAAGAGAAAAAACAGTGCAGTACTGTACAGTACATACATTAAACTTACCTCTTCATTGATCTTATGACCATTCTCCTCCTGCATCTTGACAAAGTCCCTCACCACACGATCCAGACCCGGTGAAAAGTGGCGGAAGTACTTGTGAAAGTCATATTTTACAGCTAAAGAGGCAAATATAGTGTTATTAACCAAAGCTGAACGCAGATCTGTCAGAGCACCAGGAGAATGTTGCCTCTTGTCCTCATATAAGTGACGGGTGATCAGGTAGTCTGCAAAGATATAATATACGCTTTGAAAAAATTTCTTACAAATGAGGTCAATGCATCTCTAGCATATAAAAGTGGGTCCCATAAGCATGACTGCCCACAATGAAAGTGTATAAAGCACTTTGTTTACTAATCCTTCAGTACAAAAGGTGACAGTGTGGCCAGCTCTGCACTCTACTACCTTTACTTCTCCGTTTTTTAAAGTCAGATACTCAATTACTGTACAGTTGGGTGGACTCAAAGTGCTCTGGGATGGAACCAGCAACCCTTAGTACAGGAAGCAAGTGCTGTATTAACTTGACCAATGCATCCTTTCCCAGTATGAGCTTAACAAGTACAGTAATATCTCTGTTAACAGGAATCCCTCAAATCCGGAACTCTCCGATAGCCGGAACTGAAATTTTCTCAGAAAACAGTTCCCAAAGCCAGAATTTTCTGGAAAATTCCAACTTTGGGAATGATTTTCCCGAGGGGCACATTTTCCCGATAATAGGAAAATTCCGGGGATGGGAGATATTTTTCCGGGTTTGAGAGATGATGTAATGGGCAATTTCTGGAACTTCAAAGAACACTTTTCTGTTACCAGGAAAATTCCGGGAATGAGGGATATTTTTCCGGGTTCAAGAGATGATGTAATGGGCAATTTCTGGAAATTCCGAGAAAATTTTTCCGTTACCCAGAAAGTTCCAGGGTTGAGGGATTTTTTCTGGATTTGAGAGTTGTCTCGTTACCCGGAAATCTCTCATTCCCGGAAGCACTCTGCACCAATTGTTCCGGCTAATTAAGTTGAAAGTACATCGTCTATTTCATAATTATTGCAAATGGTGGAATTCAAAGGCACCTCTCCCACAATCCCTACATATCCTGATGAGACCTAAGTTTTCCTAACAGTGTTCTGACTTCAGCATGTGAACAAATGTAAGTGCACTATCAACATCCAAGTGCAAACAGTACAAAATGTGGCTGAGAAGAGATGACACTTGGACTGTGTGTTGACTGGAGCACTTTCTGTTTGAATCACACAAAGAACCATTACTGGAAACCACTGCTAGACATCAAAAGTGCGACAAAAGCAAATATAAAGAGTAAAAAGTATGAGCCATGGCTGTGCAAGTGATGTGTTAATAGAACAAGGGTGCACAAAGAACTGGGTGGGGGATAAGGATGCAGATGTTAGGTGCTGTGGCAGGCAGCATCCCTTAATCATGTAGGTCAAGTAAGCACTTGGGCAAATCAGCTACCTATTGTAATGAATTGAGAAATAATCATGCAGGACACCAGAATTTCATATTGTGCATTTGAGATTCATAACTTTTTCTAGCACAGTATTATAATTATTTGTCTGATAGCAACAAAGTGACTGATTTAAGGGAAATTATAATGTTTAAGTTCAAAATTGTAGAGGTTTCCTGTATGTTACTAAAAAAATTAAGCACAGCTCTTAATGATTTGGAGCAACTTATAGTTATCAATTACAGGGAGGTTAAGGTTACTGGGGGTTGAGAGAGAAACTGACAAATTTAAAATTACAAAAATAATTAAGACACCAGTAGTTTAAAACCCAACATAACTGGTTTTGCTGGCCAAATAGAAAAAATAAAATAGCTTATGACTTACCAAGAACAGCATCTCCTAAGAATTCAAGCCTCTGGTAGCAGTCAGTGAGACGATTCTTGTAATATGAAGCATGAGTGAAGGCTTGTAGTAGATATGAGCGATCTCTGAATGTGTACCCAATTTTGTCCTCAAACACCAAGTATCCACTCAGTAGTAATTCTAATTGCTCCAGAGTATCTGTTATTGGACATCGGTAAAGAGGTGACAGGGGAGGTTCCAAGTGACCATAAGTAATCTGCATTAACCTTCCAGATTCTTCATTCACTTTACATGGTAACACCTTAATGCCGAGCCAGGACATGAAAAGTAAAGCACCACGGGGACCACAGGTGGTTAGGTAAGCACCTATTAGAGCCTCAACACAATCTGCAATACTTTTATCAGGGATGCTATGTTGTGTGAGCAAATTATATGGGATGAAGATGGGCAAATCGTGAGGGTTTTGTGTGGCCATCAGTTCACTAGTAACATGCTCAGTTTTGCTTCGCTTTATCTGCTCGGAACGTTCTTGAACTAATCGTCGTATTTCATCGCTTGCTAAATCATGAAGGCCTGGTAAATCAGCCATGTTCCAGTGTCCAGCAGGGACTCCAGAGTCAATCAATGCCTCTTCTAACTCACGTGGCACAAAATAACCGGGAGGTAACCAGTTGTCATGGGGTTCAAACTTAGTCGCCACCATACACTCTCCCAAACCCTTTCGCTTACCCAAACGATACAAATTGAGGTTACTAACTTGCTTGGAACGCAGATAACTGAGTTTTCCTTCGTGACGTTGTGGGTAAGTACAGTACAAAAATGTGGTGATAGCATACTTTAGGAAAGAATCCCCTATTGTTTCAAGCCTCTCGAGATTAACTCCATCATTTGCATTGGACATTGTTAATGCTTGAAGGATGACACTGGGAGGAGGGCCAGGATGGTTCATGAGATCTGGTTGATAATCAAAACTGAAGGAAGTTTCACCGGAGTTGTTCTTTCCAGAGGAAAATTCAGCACCATTGTCTAGATTCATAACAGAAAGAGTTTCAGCACGATTCACAATTCTAGTGGCAGGTGAGGTAGTTAGTTGAGCATTATCACAGCCTTTTGAAGATAGTAGTTCACAGCCTTGCAATACATATTTTCCTACAGGTAAACTCTCCTTCCCTGGTGATGCAGTTTTATTTTCACTTGCCATCTTCCTGTGTGCCTTCTCTATCACGAGTGGTTCATCCTCAGCCAGATAACATGGGCTTTCTAATACGGCAAGTTGCTTCTCCTTCAGGAAGTGCTGGAATTTATCCTCTTCTTCCAACCTGACTCTTTCATCCTCATAGGGCCACTGCAAGTCAATTTCTTCATCAGAGGAACCTTCATCTATTGCCATACTTGCTCTTCTCTTACTTCCCTCCTCATCCCACAGCTTCTCCGTCTGACTTTTGTCATCATCATCCATATCAGAGGAAACATCTGATTCACAGCCTTCAAGATCATCTGCCAAACCTTGGAAATCTCCATAACCTCCATATGCATCATAGGAACCATAACCATTGTAGCTTCCACCGTAACCAGAGCCGGTAGATCCGCCAAATACATCCCACCCGTCAATTTCAAAGTTTGACGGCGAACCAACTCGGAAAACCTCTCCACTACTGTCCTTGTGACAACCATTTTTTGACCTACGCTCTGTGATTCCAGTGCCCCAATCAGCACCTAATTCCCCTTCGATATCATCATCAACATTTGTAAACCCATCCAGCAGTGTCAGGTTATCTGGGAGAGCCACATTGGGGTCAAATGTATCAATCTCAAAGTCATCTGTGGTATTCATATCATCCATGCTGTAAGGTGGGGTGGGGGGATCAAAAGCCATATCATTAGACCAAGTGCCTATTTCCATATCAATCCCATTTTTGCTGATTTTTTTCTTAGCTGGGGGTGATTCATCACCCAAAGATTCTACTTTCTTTGTTGTGTGTTTAGTAGCACCAGCTGCCTCTGCCTTGGCCTCACAGTTGTCCTCCTGTTCTTGGTTGTCTTGGTTCTTCTTCAGCACATCAGCAAGGCTCCAGCCAAAGTCCAAGGGCGGCCAAGAAAAATCTAGAAATATGTAATATGATTAGTCAACCTTGTTCAAATAAAAAACTGATCTAGTCATTAAGGTATGACTGCTTTAATGAAAATATTGATTTAGTTTTGTAATGAATGTTACAACCAAATAAATAATGGCATAATAACAAACTTAACTTATATTCTTTTATCTAAATTTTATCTTTATTTAAAAACATGAAAAATCAAGTATTTCTAAATGTACTGTAGTCATAGCAAATGTAACAAATACATCAGTTCCCTGTCAAATTCTAAGTTTCTCATAAACAAGAAAATGAGATGATACAATTCACAACAAAAAAAAACTTAAAAAAAAAAAAAAATCACAATAAACAGGGTCAGCTCATACACTTATGTCAATCCCCACAAAATTACCTTTTAAATGACAAGTTTTATGGATTCAGTAGCCATTACATACTGTACTTGTATGTATATCCAATATTCATATTAAGGGTGATAGTTGAATATTGGACGTTATCACCAGCCTGGGCAGATTGATCCAGCAATTTTTTTTTTAAGCTTTGGTAGAGTTACCCACCAAAAATTACCACCTCACTGATTCAACTCCAGGATGGCTTGAGCAGCACCATCTTTCCTAGTGGCAACCAGGTGCAGTTCTCCCCATCTCAATAGGAGTAAGATATGTGTACTGGTGCCAACCCTCTTTTTTAAACCACAGCAACCAATTCAAAAATGTTTTACCTATAGGGAGGATCTGAAGTCCAAGACCGACTTCATTAGCCACACAGATCCGCAATTGGTCAGCCAGAAGAAGAGCATTTATGCGGTAAAGAATAGTGGGCAGACACACAGCTTTGCGCCACAAGGAAGCTGGGAAGGGATGAATTGTGCATAATTCAGGGACCAAGATTTGTTTTTGCTGCAGGTTCTCTCGTTTAGCACGCTTGGTCTCTTCCGAGGTAGTGGGCAGTGCAACTCCCTTTCTGTTGAGTAGAGGCAGATTTTTATATTACTGTATATCTGAGAAATGAAAAGGAACTGTAACTAGTACACAACACTGACACCAAATATGCAAGGATGGCATGACTGATGATTTGTTGAAGAGTATAAAGGAGGATGCGTATGTGCAGAAAGCAGTATGGATGGCTGTTGTGTGTATTAAGTAGAAATGTCCAAACTGTCAAATATTAATTTGGGTTGTGGGATGATGATGGTGATGAGCATATCAAACAGAGAGGATAGAATGTTACTGAAAGTGTGAGAAGTATTGAGTTTCTGAGCCACATTAAAGGATGCTCTGTTAAGTGTAGCTGGAGTAACATGTGGAGGAATTATGAAGTGGGTGGAAAGTATTATAGAAACTGATCTGGTTAATGAAAATCAGTTTGAATTAATATCAGGCTCCCTGCCATGAAAACTTTTGTTTTTACACTTAGAAAAATCATTTGACAGTACCAGGTGAAGTAATACAGTAGGCAATGAGAAATTTAAGGATATATTGTACCCTGGATGAATTGTTCTATACAGCCAGGGGTATAAAAATGTTTCAATAACCCAAACATTAATGTACAGGTGCTCAACAAACAACCGATCTCCCGTATATTCTTTTAAGCAGTTTATTTAGTGATTGGCTTTCAATTACAAAGACCTGTTTACCTGTTGACATGTCTTGGTGTGAGTAAGTTAAGACGGCCAGATGTATGGTCAACATCAAGCAAAGGCTGGGACAAATTACAAATTTGAAGTCCATATTTTGTCAGATAATATTTTTCAAAAGTCTCAAATCCAGCATCTGGGAAGTCACTCTGGGGGTTGAGGTGAGTGCAGATTTCTGCCACATAGAAGTACTGAAAAAGAAATACATACTCATATAGTATCAAAAGCAACAGACATTACTTCTTCAATTACATAATATTAACTAGTGATCAAACTGGGAAACTGAATTTCACATATGAATATAGTATTGAAAAGTTGATTACATCTCTGTACCTGGGGCTGATCTTGATTTCTATACCAAGGCATCACAACAGCATCTTCATAGAGGCTGTGTTGAAACTGGAACTTCTTCCTTGTAGAATCAAGAGGAGGAACTGGTCTTGGGTCACCTTCCAACTGTATCTTTGTAACAAACTCCCAGTCAATGTCCTCAACTCCATTAACTGTAAAGGATGCCAATATTAAACACACACTGACTCTAAACTAATATTTTTCTACTTCACTTTAAAATAACAAAATTTCACATACTAATCACGAAAGAAAATTTTTTGAAATACTGTATTTCTGATAAAACATTTTTTATTGACCATGAAGCATCCTGACAGAGACAGCCTTGTCATGGTATGATGGTCAGTGGGAGCAAGTAACCCTGCCAACAACTTGACATAAAACTAGTAACTGTCCCATATACTTCTGGGTCTCAGCTGTACTTGATGCTACTAACCCCTTGTGTATGGGTTTCCCCCTGAGCTGAATGAAATCATCAGGCATTAGCAAAATAAGATATAAAAAAGGGCATCCCTATAATGATGGGGGTTAGTCACTGAATGAGTCTAATCCATCCTTACTTCAATCGTACCATTTAGATCCCTTCCAATATGCTGTTCTCTGAGGATGTGTAATGTGTATCTGAACCTGTTGCTTTGTTGTGTGGAGCACAAGAAGGACCAATCTTGAGTATTTAACTGTATGTCATTGACAATTGTGGACTTGTATGTTTATTATATGAAACAACTATGTGCCAATAATGTACACTGAGGAAACAAGAGATAAACTGGCATCTCTCCTCTGACATCAAGAGCTGGTTGACAAAATAAAACTAAAGTGATTAAGTAAAATTTAAATATAGTACAAGTGTGTAAAATGGCAATAAAATGGTGATGACAATGATGAATTTTATAATATGATGAGGGATTAAGTGTACTGGAAACCATGGAGTCACTCACTGAAGTCCTATACCAATTAAAAACATTAATAAAACAATTATCAATTTAAATAGAAAAAGGTACAGGTACCAGTACATCTATATTAATAAAAAATACAAGAATTAGATAACAAATTTCAAATAAATAATTCAATAACTTATGCTTCAGAACTTACATTTGTTGAGTGGCACAATGTAGAAAGCTGTCCTGGCATTAGTTGGGTCAAACTTGATGGGATACTTCTCCAGACGCAACACATGAGTGAAGGTAAACTTGTGGAAGCATTGCAAGGCCAACAGCTGATCCTGGGTGAAATGCTCCCTGCTTCCAATCTCACGGACATGGACAATAACTTCGCCTGATCGGGTGAACACTGGAAAACCGCTGACCTGGTAACCAAAGAGAATTCTGCTTTTAAATGGTTCTCTAATTACTTGGGTCAAGTGAAAATCTTATTGGATAAATAAAAATCAACCTTCACTTGTCCGAATGGGAAAGTAATTTAGGAGACCTTGTTCATAGTTTCCCAATATAGATTTGTTTGTCAGTTACGTATTTATGTACTGTATTTTAGTTCTACCCCCACAGATACAGTGGTCCCTCGGTTAACGAACACAATTTGTTCCACAGAGTCGTTCGTTAACCGAATCTCTTATTTCAATGGGATGTTGGGTAATTGGTTCCAACTCACAGAAAAAGTACATACAAAGTACTGTATACCAGTAATAGAATTAACAAAACATTAAATATAAACTAAATACAGTACTGTACTGTAAGTATACTGTACAATAATAAATAAAAAACAATAGAATACTGCATTTCAACTTACTTTGAGGTGCGTATGTCATATTACCGGCAGCTTTGTTTACATATCAAACAGCTGATTGCAGAGGCAGTCGATGATATGCCATATTCTTTACAGAGTGCATTGGTTCTAATGCCTTCTTCATGTTTCATAATAATTTCTGCACTGTATATTATCAATATGTTAACTAAATTTCAGAATGACAATAATTTTAATGTAAAAATGCAAAAATATTCAAGAGACCAACAAAATCGATGTTCACTCCACTGTAAACAAAGTTAAACTGAGAAGCGTTGTTGGGTGATTCAATCAGCTGATGGGTGCACAAAAACTGTTCCCTGTACTGTCTATATTATCAATATGTTAACTAAATTTCAGAATGACCAATAATTTTAACATAAAAAATGCAGAAATATTCAAGAGACCAACTTTCTTGATATTTACTTCACTGGAAATGAATGTAAACATAGAACCAATTACTGTACTGTATTGGCAGACTAGCCGATCAGCTGATGCGCATAACAAAACTATAGTACATTATTATGTATTCAAAGAAAGAAATTTACGAAGTATTGTACATTACTGTACTTGTTGGACATGTGATAATTCAGTTTGAACAAGTCACCACTATTTTTAGGCAAGTGAAATTTACATTAATAACTACAGTATTTGCCAAAATTGACAAGCTTAAAGAAAGTTATGCCCTACTTAATATCTGCAAATACTTTTTATTTCTACAAATAGCAATATCTGAATTCTATTACACTGAGATGTCCCAATGATGAATTTACACCAAGCAACATTCTCTTTATGCACTTCAGGCTAAAATGTGGCAACATGATGTAAAAGTATTATGCACACTTTACAAATAATTAATCAACTACCTGTGAGATGGGCTTGGTGGTGACGATACCAAACGAACGAGTGGACTTTTCTGGACGATATATCTTGCGACCTCGTGTATTCTGCTCGTCTGGAATGGGGCAGGTCAATACCATCTCTAACTTATACACAAACACATCCAGTTCTTCCTTTGGTTGTTCTCCCGTCAAACATTCTGCAACCTGAAAAACCGATTGAGCTAGTTTAGTGTAATTCCTATTAGGTCTTTAACTAATTGCTTATGGGGTTACCTTTGCTGAATAAAATCATCGGGTGTTAGCCAAATAAAATGTCAAAAGTGGTGTCCCTATAGTGAAGGGGTTAACATAAATGATATACCCTGTACTTCAAAAACTGTGTGTGGTGACTTGATTCTTTCTCCCCACGATTACTAAGATTCATTTGTATATATTTATAGTTAACAAACTACACCAACTTTTTGGAATATATCAAAACCCCTACAGAAAGGTGATCCTTTCATTTTATGTGCCATGTACTGTATTGAGTCTTGAGTGTACTACAGATGGCCCTCAACTTGCACATTCTTTTTTGTACAAGTTTTCACTTACACAGTCATGTAAATCTGACCCTTTATTTTTTTTTTTACACAATACGGATTCACTTATAAATGGTTCAGCATGTTGGGCATAAGACCTCAAAAGTGAGCCACGTGTGACCTAAGAGTATATCATTTGCACTTATGTAATTAAATTTCTTAGCATCAAAACTATATAACTTTTAAACACGGTAACAACCTAGAGTATTAACACACACCATAAGTTATGATCATGCCAATACCTTTTTGTAGTAGTACTGTCGTCTCTTGGTCGTTCCTGGACGAGGCATTCCTTCAGGTACTTGATCATCTGCTGGAGGTGCACACAAATGGTCATCCAGTTTCATACTTTCCTTTCCAACTGGCTGTAACTGGTCATCTAACTCCCCTATCTGATGAAGGCAGCGGCAGCACTCCAGAGCCGCAGCCATTTTCGCCAGAGAAACTTTTTGTTGCCAAGGACCCTGGAGAGAGGATTCTTCATTAATGCTTATGTTTTACAAAATACTGAAGAGACAGGAAGAACAGTGTTTTAACATTTCATAGACTGTAGACTTGATGTATCAAGAAACAGTAATACATCAGCTAGGGGGAGGAATGTGGAAGACGGGAAGGGATGACTGCCAGGTGCTATGGTCTGAACTGAATAAGAAATATATATATATATATATATAAATATATATATATATATATATATATATATATATATATATATATATATATATATATATATATATATATATATATATATATATATATATATATATATATATATATATACTGTATATATATATATATATATAAAGGGATGTGTCTGTTGATAATGACGATCTGACTCAACAGCTAATCTGTCAGATTAAAACAAGCTGGGGTACTTATTCTGTGAAGACTATTCACGGGACTCAACTTACACTCACAAGAACAAAACTTTTTCACTCCTCAAGAACAGTAGTTATAGATGGGACACTTATTCATGCCCAAGTACTGTACCTCAATGTTTGAAGCATAAAACCCAAAGAAATAACACCACATAACTAATACTGTCAGTCAAGGCACGAACCATCATTTAACATTAATATTAATTTACAATAACTTTTTTATACCAAGAAATTTCCTCAAAGTGCCCAAAAAATAAACCCATATCTTCCACTGACTCCATTAAAATCATCTATTTGTTATAATCAATGAAAGAAATTTACCTGAATAGTTCCCTTTAATGGTGAATTGATTGGCAACATTATCTTGCAACAGTATTTGCTCATGCCAACTTCATTCTCTACTTCCCACATGGCTGTTAAACGTGTGAAGGTGTCACTTGGCAGCTTGGCACAGTATCTAGAATGAAAGATGCAAAACATAGGATAAGACTGTAATAATAATAATATAAACAATGTACTACTACTAATAATACTGTAATACTACTACTAATAATAATGGTATTGTACCATGATTACTGAGTTTGTTCTACATGCTATATAAAACACTACATGGGAGTCTTGTCTTCACCACAGCAGCACGAACACCATAACCCACATACTTGTTCAAAAGGCCTATTGCTGTAGCCATGGTAACAGCAGCATTGGCAGGAGTGATGTAGGATGGGTAAGCACCATTAGCTTCTTCAGCCATAACTTCTTGGTCTGTGCCCACTTCAACGCTGCCACACCGACTTACCAACACCTGAGAGTAAAATAATAATTTGGGGATAAAAGAAGGAATTTTATAAATTAATTAGAATACGGTATGTAATAAAACCGCCTTATCAATCTTCATCCTGTTTACAATATGTCCCTAAACAGTATGGCATAAACAAAAATTAGATAAATAAAATAACAATACTGTTCTATGTAAAGTAAGACATGCAGATAACTACTCTCCTTACCTGTTGAAAGGCAGAATATGATGCCATATCACAGAGGAAACTCTGCTCCTGCTTCTTGGCTATCAAGTGAAAGTAGAAAGTGTCCTGGCCTCGAGCTCGACCACAGCTGTGCACGTATGACCGGTAATCAGTAGGAGGATCAAACCTAGAAAGAGAATTACATAAATATATACATGTATCATACTGTACCTCCTCAGCTGACACTTTAGACATACAGTCCCTCTATTTAAATCATCTAGCTATCTGAACAAATATAATATATGGTGACTCTTCCCAAAATAATTCTGTCTTACCAACTATTATCACATACTAAAATGTAACTAATTCAGCAGCAACTTGTATGTGTTTGATCAAGAAATGTGTAAAGGCTGTCATTATGCTCTTGCTGTTGCTGCATATAAATATATTAATCTGTTTGTAGTACGTTTCTGTCCAATTATCACACAGTTCTAGGAATACATATACTTTTGGTATTTTTAGTAATGCCTATATTTACTACGGGTACTTTGTTTGTTAGCCAGGTTAGTCACATCCATAGAGTACCACATCAAGGCTTTGTACCAGATAAAATACTAATTTTGTCCTTACCTTAAAACAAGATTACACTGAGGAACATCAATTCCTTCTTCAAGCACACGTGTGGATACCAGAACATTGCACTCGTGGTGACGAAATCTGAAGGAAATCAATGTAAAACTGCACATCATTAAGCACATAAATTGTACAATAAGTACATATACCCAAGTAACACTCAATTAAACCTGCTTTGGCATATCAAGGGTCCATTATGGAGAGCAGCAACACAGTTTGTATGTCTGTATAATCTGAGTTACATTTTTACACAAGCCCTAATGAACAGCTTGACCATAAAGATTTAATACTAACTTACATAATGTGTTTTATACTGTATACACACACCTAAGCAAATGTAAATGATGGGGCAAGTAAATAATGTTAATAAACTACACAGGACAGTTTTTCATCACCTCTAGTACCTATAAAAATATAACTTTATTCAACCTATCACGATTTCAGTCTAAAACTATTCAGTGCACATTAACCCACTCACGCATGACGACACGATTCGTGTCATATTCATGTTAAGACCAACATTAAGGTGATGCAAATCGAGTCAACCAAACTTAATTGGCCAAAAATTAAGTTTGCAACAGAATTGCACCAATTTTTTATGCATCTTGGTAACAAGTAATTTCTACCAATAAACTAATTGGCAACTCTCGAGGCCCATAGGAAGGGAAGACCGGAATGATAAATGCGCAGTATTATCTCAGCAGTCAGACCGTGAGTGTGAGCTGCGTCCATTTAAATTTCCATAACTCCGTGCGGGCTGCCTCTACTCCTGGATTACAGTGCTTACCTTACCCTACTCCCTGAAATAATTTCTTTTTAGTGTTAGAGAAGTGAAGCGATGGTTGTGTAATGTAATATTTTTTCATATTTACAGGGAAGTGTTTAGTTTTCAAAGGCCATTATTTGTATCAGGCTATACAACCTCGTTATGGTGACAATGTCTCAAAAAAAAGTCTCTGAAAGAGTAGGATTTTCTCTGTTTAGGGACAGTGAGCATAAAGTAGATAGTGATAATAAAGAGCCTGGTAGAGAAAATGATCGTGATGATAACAAAGAAAGTCAGGAATATGAGGTAGTAATTGTGTCAGTTGCATCTACCTTCTGGCGCCTCACCACCAGACTCCCCCTACCACCACACGTACCACCTACATTCACTCTCACTCTCACATTTTACTCGGGTTCATTCACTCACTTCCTCCCCCAAAGTTCATCTACAACTCCCAAAAGTCTTCCACCTCGCTGAAGGATGTGAGCACAGAATGATCTGTTTTATATCACTAGAGAATGAATTTATTTTATAATATATTTTGTTATTTTATATTGCATTTTATTATTAGATATTGTTACTTTCTTTTACTATATGACAATCATGCAATGCAGCTGAATGCCCATCCACCTATACAGTATATATGATCTTATTTTATATTATACCGTAATACAATTTATGTTATTACGGTATATTTTGTTATAATTTGCGCTATTCTTATATATTACATAAGTCATGTGGTGCAGTCGAATGCCTGCCCACGTGTATAAAAATAATGTCGAAAAAAAAAAAAAACTCAGGACTTACACGAATTCTATCAGTACATTTCTCTTTGTTATGGTTTGGCAACAAGATGTAATATAATTTATATTGATATAAAACATAGGCACCAAAATAAGCTGAAAAAAAAAGTTACTACTTGAGAATCAGTTCTTTGCTATTTTCTCAAGTACCATTGGTCATATCAGAAATCTGATTACAGTGGTAACTTGAAATTTACAGTATTTTATTTCCCTGATGACTTATTTTTTACTTTAACTTACTGTATTTTGTCATTCTATTTCCTCTTTTGTCTTAAATTAAGTGATATTAGACGTATATAAAGACTTAGGCTATGAGATAGTGGGATTTTAAACATTGTTTTGTAAATACAATATGCATATCGCAAGTGTTCCGACTTACGTACAAATCTGACTTATTAACGTCCTCCGGAACATAACCCGTTTGTAATCAGGGGGCGTCCAGTACCTGTACTTGTATTATTATCATTATTTATTTTTTTTTTTTGGGGGGGGAGGGGGCTTAAGTTGCAGAGCAATCACTTACGAAGCCAAAAATATATGGTTTATGCCAATAAAGTAAAAACAAAATTTTGGAGAAATCGATATAGCAAAAAAATTTCCACTGAGCGCTGTCTCGCCTGCCTTGGGGGCCTCAAAGATGCGACCTTGGAACCAGAGAACTAAAAACTTATCTCGTGCAAAAGAGGGTTAATACTATCAATGTTTTCTTAATTTTTGATCATCCCTTGTTGTATCCATCGCTATCTGCTGTATTCTTGAGGTAGATAGCTGTATTTGGATACATGAACTTTGGTGGGTTAAGTTATCAAAACCCACAATGGTCTTTCTCCATTTTTTTATAAAAAATATATATTATGCAGTCAATAAAGTGGTCACAGTAATTACACTATAAGCTGTGAGTGTTATGGGAAGATGGCGCTTAATTGGGCTAAGCCGAGTTCAACATCTTATGCTCGTGAAAGGTGAGGGAATACTGAGGGCCAGAGCCAGCTTCTAATGGCTGACCTAACCTCTTTAGCAATGCGCCCACCAGTGGAAACTATTGATCACATGATAGCTGTGCAACACAGCACATGCCATGGAAATTTATGGGGGGGTGATAGGATTATATATTACAAATGGATTAACCCATATTTATATAAATGCTACTGACTATTAGTCAGGGGCTAATGCGTTGTCATTTCAATACTTTTCTTTAATTCTCTCTCTTCACTCTATCAATGTTCTTAAAACTAGTCAAGCTTACCGTCTGAGTACCTCCTCTTGCTTCTTATGTTCAGCTTCAGCAGCCCTTGGATCATCCTTAACACTCTCCTTGGCTTCAACAGTATACTGGGGGAAGATCCAAGCATAGTCTCCACCTATATCACTCAGTTCCTGTAACACCAGTGAAATAGTTACTGAAAGGAAAACTAAAAAAGCAAATTAAATATCCTAACCATGAACAACTTTAGCAAAATCAACTGACTCATCAGATAATTTGCAATTACAGAACTCCAAAAGTGGCTGCCACCGAGATTCAGATTACGATAAAGATTAACTTAATTTCATAGATTTAGAGCATCAAGCACAGTACTGTACTTCAAAAATAAGACAAAACTATTCATACCTTCAGGAGTCTGTATATAATCTTGGCCATGTTGCGGTGATGCACAAATATGAGTCCACACACAGAGTCAGGATCCTCAGGGTTGTGCACCTTAACCTTCTCCTTCACATCATCGCGCCGTTTACGTCCTTTGCCACCACTAGGTAGCAGCAATGCCAGAGTGTCAGCCATGGCCACTGCCTCGGATGAAACCACTTGAGGGGAAGAACCAGGTTCATCCATTTCATTACTTGAATTCAGTCCAGCTCCAGAGGTGGCTGTTAAGTCTGTTACACTTGCTGTGGATGTTTTTGGTGTTGTTATTTTTGATTCCTCTGAAACACTATTTTCTTGTGAGTTGTCTGAAGAATTCACTTGATCAATACTTTCTTCAATCCTTGCTTCATTATGAGAATTTGTTGTGATATCGACATGAGTAGCATCAGCAGCAACTGCCTCACAAGGCAGCTCAGAGGTAGCAAGGGGAGCAGAAGTTTCAGCAATGGAGTCTTGGTCTTGGCAAGATTCCATGCAAAACTGGATTTGTACTGAGTCACAGCTTTCATTATCTGCCTCTGCTACACACTCTCTATCACTTGGATCTTTACAATTCAAGCTCAGCTCATCAGGGTCAATGTGTCCATTCATTTTACTTCCAACATTTTTCTCTGAGATTCTGGGAGATGGCAAAGTGTTATGACTGCCATGTGCAAAACCATTGCATAACATTGCATTTTTAATATTTTGTATCTTGGCAGCATTTTGTAGTTCACTTTTGGCACTCAAAGGTCCATTATGTAGATCACAGCTCAATAAAGTTTCTAGTTCACAGCCATCTATACAAGATGATTCCTTAATATTAAGCCTAAATAAATCGTCTTCTAAGACTGACCCACCTTCACTTTCCTTATTGTCTATAGCTTCACATATATTGCAACAGGTTTGTGTAGTATCAGGATCCTTTTGTACTGTACTTTGCATACCATCAATACAAACAGAGTCCCCATTCAGTAAATGACCTTTTACTTCTTCAATACCATTTTGTAAATGAACATTTCTGACATCTTTGTTGAGTCCCTTTGTGGTGCTTCTTTCTTTCAATGATCCCGACTGAGGTATCTTGCAATCATTAGTAATTATATCACTAGTACAACATTCCAAATTATTTATACATGATTCAGACACAGCCTTGATTGTACATTCTGGAATTAATTTGGAGGAAGGTGCACATGATCCTCCAGCCACTGACACATCATCATCTTCACTCAAGTCTTCGATGGTGGAACAACGAACAACATTACTGGGGGATTTTTCACATATGTCCATCTCCTCACCTGCTTCCTGTTTAAGTAGTCCTGATGTAACACTAGAATCATCGGCAACTGAACCCGACAAACGAAATTCATCAGATGATGATACACACACACTCTCACTAATAAAGCAATCATGTATCTCATTATCTCTACTAGATGATTTAGGAACTGTCTTACATAGAATTTCATTGACTAATCTACTGCCAGTTTTCATATTTTCAGCAAAAGAACAATTGGAATTTTGAAAAACCGAGGGAGGGGTTCCATAACACGATTCATCTGAACTTGACTCAGCATTACTATCTGTATCTTTGTCTACTGATATGTCATCTCTGTGTTCTTCTTCCACCACCTTCCTACTGGGCAATGTTTCCAATGAGGTCTCACCAGCTAAGTTAGATTTGGCCTCTACACTTAAATTTTGCATCTCATTCCCAAGTCCCAATGAGGTCTCAGAGGCGGCTTTAGTTTCTACTACAGGTTCAACGGGCATGTCTTCAACTCCATCTACCGCAGATTCAGTTTTGGTTATTTCATTATTTTCCAATTTATCTCTTCTCTTACGTGGATCTATGAAATTAAGTGGCCGCACCTGACGAAGGATTTCAACTAAGCGTAAGACCTTTGGGGTCGAGAATTTCAAGATTTGATCCAATTCTGTATACTTATCAAATGCTTGTTCTACCACAGCCCTGAAAGAAAATTAAACCTTAAATGAGTGCAGCAATTTTCCACCAATGAAATACTACACTACCCTCAAACAAGAAAAATCAACCCAACTTACTTTAACTTAACAAAATTGAAATGAAAAACCCAAACAAAAAAATATTCTTTTTGATTCAATTTACAGAAATAATGTTAAATTATCCTACTTAGAGCATTCTCATTCATCACACATTTTTCAAAGAAGACATGAACACATTGCTCATACAGTACTACAGTGTATTTTTTTAATGCAATAAATAAACATAACTTACTTAAAATATGTAAAAGGAAATATTCTCTGAAGTTAATGCTCTCAACTGGCTCAGCCATGTCAATATTGTTATTATCGACTCTGTATCTGTATTTTTCTGGCTAAATAAACTGTTTCAAGATCAATATATATATTCCTCTTACTGAAGCAGTCCTATCAAAATTTATAAAACAACTATTGGTCTATTATCATTATTTTACTCCCATTTTTGTAAAGGGTAGATCTAGGAAACACTCCACAAAAGGGGGAAAATGGTAAGAGATAATCATGTAAGGAAAATAAAGAATGAGAGGAAAGAACCAAAACAACAGAGATACTCCACAAACCAGGGTTGTATTAAATATTTTCACCAAGATTTTGAGGAACTTCATACGGGTACAGGGGATATTTCCTTTTTTTTTATTCTAAATTTCAAGTAACTGATTCATCCTGATATTACTCTCTACAGAGAAGATCAGACTCAGTGGTTGACATAAAAGCACCAGTTAAGCACTTCACTAAAGGGACACCACTTTTATATTCTACTGTATTTGGATAACACCGGATGATTTGATTCAGCAGAGAGAGACACCTGCCCTGTACAGAAGGGGTTATACTAGTGGCAGACACAATGAGATGATTACTTTCACTTTCCCCCTACACCCAGATTTGCTCATAAAACAGAAGTTGCCATTTAAACCATAAACTGCAACCATGGAAAAAACCTGGCTATCTGCATGGGACAAATGTTTTGCCATGATGGAAAGCTAAGGGAGTGTGTGGGCGGCCAAGACATTAGAGGAAAGAGAGAGGAGCTGGGGGGATGGAGGACGGCCAACTGTCACTAATGGAAGTGTGTCTTTCATGATGATTGAAAGGCAACCAACTACCCTACTGAGGCCTGGGTAGTATATGGAGGTCTGTGGAACGCGTGAGTCACTTTATGAATGCTAATCTTGGCACACAATTTTAAAACAATGGCAAGCAAATCTTGTCATCACGATCCACGTCACAGTCTCACTTTTATCGTCATGTGACACACAGCAGTTTAAGTGTTAAAGCAGAATGCAACTAAGTTATTGTCATATCAGCAGAGCACACCTAATCAATGAGTGCTCAGTCATAAATTCTGACCACAGCAACAACCTATCTTTAGTGTCAACCATTTCATAAACTTCCCAGCTGTTAGTTAAGAGTTACAGTATTCTGCTGTTTTAGACCACCAAAATGGCTTGAACACAGAGAGCTGCCTGGCAGAGGGCATAAGCTGGAGCATAGTTTAGACTTAAACAACATGGGAAATATTACTGGTTTAATTGTCCTTATGATGCACGATGTCCTGCCAGTAAGTAAATGTTTAATGCTTGAAAAAGTAATTTGTCAATGACTTCATGTGACCATCTCTTGTAGGGAGTTCCTAGGGATAATGAAGTGTCAGAGGTATATACAATTGTACAAAAATAAAACTTTAAATATGCTAAGTTTATCAAACTTAGTACATACCTTATCCGTGCCATAACTGTGAAGATCATGCAGAGCAAGAGGTAGTGGCGATCATATGCAGTCTTCTTCTTTAACTTCTCCACTTCAACTAAAGCATATAAAGCTGCTCTGTCAGCACACCACAGCCCTGTAAGAAAACAAAGATAATCTCATTCCTACAAAATTATCATACAGTATCTCAGCGTTCATTTTATCATATTATTATGTTCAATATAAGTTGACTGTAAGGATCCTGGGACCCTATGACCATACAAACAAAATAAGCCCAAACTCCCCCACATGGAGAAAATTATTGATCATTATACACACCTGAGAGGTTACCGAGTTACATAAGCCATTAATATTTGTTAAATTTGTTATTATATGTTTCATTTTTGGATTGGCAGACAAACATATCAAAATTTGTACTTCCTCAACCATTTACCTCCGATGGGACGTCAGTCAAACAGATTATGATGAGACAATAATCAAACCTCTGCTCACCAGCACACAGACAGTGGAACAAATCGCCATAGTGAGATAATGCTCAATGAACAGTCATGGCTCGAATTAGACCTTCAGGTTTTCTGATCAATAAATGTCATGTACCCTTTATAGGACAATGGCACAGAGGGAGAGGAAGGGTAATAAGTTTATCTAACCGACCAATAGATTAACACAGGTTTACAATGGGATGCCCAGTCTGATACTCAATGAACTCCCCAAAAAAATTTTGTCCAGAAGTTTCCTAATCACCTGAACTATAACAAACCAGGATCACCTCTTTGTAGTCTTGGCACAGATCCCTCACTTGGTATAAAATCATAAATGGTAAGTTGATCTACGAAGTGGATTTCATATTTGACTCAATGTAGTGAAGTAATGGTCCTAAATACAGCTCACTAGCAGACCAAACACTTGAGTCTCTGATGCATAAAACAAAACCATATAGTCTAAAAACCTACACAAGTACTCACTTTATTGTGTAGCCAAGGAAGATTCTACGTAAGTACCTAATATAAAAAAAAGGAATATTTAGCTGTACAAAAGGTCAAGAGCTGTAGCAGAACATTCTGCCATGCAGTAGGAGGCTGGAAACTGAAGTGGTTAATGTTAACTAATGAATGGATCAGAGGGTTGCAGAAACCTCCATCTTCTTCCCTTTTGAGGTGACTTCCTTACCAAGGGGATGTGCTTAGTAACCTTGCGATGAAGGTGAAGAATATTCTAATTAAAATATAATCAGCTTTTGGATACTAATCACAAGTTGTAGCCTAAAGTTATGACCTTTAATCCTGCTAACAATATTGAGCTGCAAAATCCTAATGTAGATTATAAAAGCCATCTTAGTTATGCACTTACCTAAATTATTGAGCACATCTAGGAAGTCCATCAGGATCTGCCTTGGTTCATTATTAGGATCAGGTAATCCATCACAGAACTCCTGATACTCAGGACCATAAACTTCCACAAGATCATAGCGATGGTCATTGAGAAAGCTGAGAGCATCCTCGACTAGACGACGCACCTCCAGCTCTACCTCCGACCGCTCATCAGGAGAGGGATCACAACACATCACAATTTTCTCAACAGGTTTATTTACATACCTGCATTATGGAGAGACAAAATTAATATTATAACCTGATTTTAATGAAGGTATTACACATTAAAACCTGATGTGAATGAAAGTAATACACACCATAAAATTATTCGAATGATAGCAAAAACTAAAAGTGGGTCCGATAGACCTGACAGCCCGTTAGAGAAAGTGAGGATCCAGCTCACTGTATATCTAACTTTTTGTACACAAGGAGGCACCATAGCCAATACCAGAAGATGGTGAGTATTGATGCAATGGTCCAGCCATTTACAAAGTACAGGTACTGCTCAACTTACGACCACCCGGACATACGACCGCCAGTCGTATAAAATATTTTTCAAATTACGTATTTTCGAGTCCCGACGTTAGTAATCGCGCTGTGTACTGACAAAATTTTGTTTGTAATTCCCTTTAAAATGGCTGACAAGCTTAAAAGTGAGAGTTCTCGTGGTGCTGAGAAGAAAAAGAGACACCCATTTTAGATTTTCTATGTATTAGTTTCGCATTTTTGACTTGTGTCCTGGTCGTCGGTACCTGACCCCGTCGTAAGTCGAGGACTGACTGTAGATTATGGTTCTTATAAAATTTCTGTATACGTTTTATAATAAAAATGTGGAAGTCCTACATTCTATGGATACTAGAATAAGTGTAAGTGAAATACATATTTATGCAAAATGACATCTTAGCCTAACCAATACTAAACTTCACTCTCTCAAAAAGGCAAAACAGTCATCCTTCACAAGGCTCTGTCATCACGGAAATACTGAAGCAAAACTCAAAACAAGTGAAGTGAAACTATTCCTTAATATTGTACCACCATCTATTACTTATAGATGGAAATCCTCACCTTAGTACAGTGACTATTTCTGAGGCAGTATCAACTCTACAAGAGGAAGCTTTCTGAAGGTGATTAAGGAAGGACTCAAGCTGGGGGGGAGAGCAGGCATGACTCAACACAGGAGAAGTCATGCCTAGGATTCGGCAATTTCCACATCTAATCAGAACCTGAAAATAAGAATATTCAAGATATATACATACAATATTTCATCCTATATTGATATTAAAAACAACTTCATTACTGTAAACTTTGTATGTATAAAAAATATGGTTAAATAAATAACAAATAATAATACACATAAACTGAAGTTGTCTGTGAAACACACGTGCCACAACTGGTGGAAAAACCAATCAAATGAAGTGATAATCATGTCAGGTAATCTATGCTGAACATTTTTCTAATAATATAGCTTTCAAACTCTGTGTCTGCATTGCAGGCATAAAAGTATGATTTGATTTCTCAATAAATATCAATAAATTATTTTAATACAATTCAATTAATATCATCACAGGTCCAAAGAGAAACTTTTTCTGACAAACAAGAGAAAAACAAGTCCTTCTGGTGCGCAGTGAGCTGGAGCAGTGAGGTGGTTGTGTGTTCATGGTTATGACAGACTAAGTTGAATGGATTGCACATGTGGTGTGAATCATTAGCTTTCAAATTACTGTAGTTTCTCTCTTACTACCTTTTATGAGTTAGTTGCTTGGGAGATGAAGGCTAATCTTCAGCTTAAAGTTCATATCTAGCATAAGTGCCCTGAAGCCCGTGGCTAAAGCCTGCATTGGACATATGATGAGTCATCCTACAAAGGCTGAGGTTATAAGCCATAATAGATACTCACATCACCTCAAAGGCTAAGCAAACTAAGTTACAAATGACTGTGATGTGGTAGCAGTATGGTTAAAGTACATAAACTACACACCTTAACAATTGTAGAAGAAGTCGCCATTCGGTGAGCATCAGTAATGACAAGAAGGTTGAGCATGTCCAGTGGCAACACCCCTGCTTGCAGTCCTTGCTCTAGCACATCCACTGTCATTATTAACACCTGAGGAACAACCATCATACTTTAGTTCCATTAATGGCACCACAAATTTGCGGTACATTTTTACTTGCGCACAAAGAAATGTATACGTATTCCTTTTATGTGATTGCTCTTAAGACAATTACTGGTATTTCTTTTACCTGTAGTATTGTATGTACAGTATGTGTGTGTGTGTGTAAACACACATACACACACAAAACACATACAAGTAAATAATAATTGGAAAATCCTATCACAAATAATCAGAAACAAATTTATTAAAAATGTGGCAGTCTACCTTCAAGTCCATGCTCTATTAATAAAGTACAGTAATAGAGCATGGACTTGAGGGTTGACTGTCAAATTTTTAATAAATTTGTTTCTGATTATTTGTGAGAGGAATTTCCAATTATTATTTATTTGTATGTGTTTTGTGTGTGTGTGTGTGTCTACACACACACACACACACACACACACATTATTACAATACAGGTAAAGGAAATTACTGTCTCTAGAACGAATGGCTCCCTGTCCCAGCCGCAAAAATGCTAACAACTTTAAAACTACCCACAGACATTCTTGGGTACATCCAGGGTGTCATCCGCGAATAACCGAGAACCGCTTAGTAAAAATCCGCAAACTTGGGGGCCCCCTGTACCATAAATTTACTAAGCAACAGTACTCTTAGTCTGGACACTGTGGCCCTGACTGCACCTTCTTGGATGATTTCAGCTGGAAGTACACATACAATAATGACCACCGAATACATGTAAAAAAAAAATAAATAAATATCACTTACTTGAGCTTCTCTGAAAGCCTGACTCCAGCGAGATGGCAGCCAATTGTCTACATGGTCAAGTGTGGTGTAGGTGGTGACATTGAGGTTGGTGTTCTGCTGAATGGCTTCCCCTGCACGAACAAGGCCCGGTCCTGACCACCCGGTGATCAAGGTTCGTTGCCCCCTGCCTCCTTGCTCCTTGCTTGAAGTGAATTATACAGCTTCTTTATAAAATAATACAGTACATGCTCAAACAAAAGATATTTGAGAAAATACTAAAGCATGATTGATACAGTATTACTAAAAGGTTTGTGCAATTAGAGATTCATATACAGTAATTAGTATGATACTTTTCATGTGTACACAGCATGACATGAACTCTAACTTCGATTTAACAAAACAAACAAATTTTTCAATAAAAAAACCCCAGTGATTTCCTAATAGCAATACCTTCGAGTGAGGTGAGCCAACTCTCGAGTTACCATGGTGATGAGGAATGTCCGAGTGGAGCGAGAGGCCAATACAGTGAGAGTGTTTCGTCGTAGGCAAGCATCCACCAACTCCACCTGGTACTCTCGAGGAGTAAATATGGTGGAGTGCACATTTTCTGGTTGTACCCGGTTCATCTGAAAACAATTATTTTTGGAAATCAACATAGAAGTTACCACAATTACACACTAGTCCAATCCAAGTTTTAAGCCAAATTTATTAAGTACTGAGTACAGTAGCTCTGAAAGACAACAACCCCTTTAATCTTTGCACTCTTTCCCATTTCCTTTACCAACTTCTTTTCCTCTATTCCAGTAACTTTACTCCTACTTATAGTACTGTACTGTATCATTCAGGTGAAACAGTTACTCCTTTTAATAACAGTCGCCAATGACAGTGATAAAAATCAGGCAAAACATTAGAGAAAACATTATCTAATGTTTCCTGTAATAATGCACAGAATAAATACAGTATAACAATTCACACAATAATAAAATATAAGATAACTACTGTATTGTAGAACACCAAGAGAACACCTCAAGCCAAGTGACAGCAAAGTAGTAGTGTGATATATGTCCTGGTGGTGGTGTGAGATGAGCTGAGGTCAGGTAATGCCACTACAGCAGCTGTTTAGCTAATAAGTGAGGTGTTGAACAATGGGTATACCCTGTGCATATTATTATTTCCCACGTTTTTCTTTGCAAAAGGAATCAGATAGCAGTTTTTGCCATATTTTTGCTTGCAGAGAAGGTTTACCATAAAAATATGATGTAATGTGAAGAGAAAAAAAGGAAGCCTTTCCCATATAGCACAATCACCATCGTAAACTCGGTACAGTATAACACTGTGGTGCTTCCCTCACACACACACTCTCAGCATTTCTACCTGTCCTACCCTTGTTGCTTCATAAGAGCACAGTACAGTATATACTTTAGCAATAATTACCAGGTATCAGTGCTATGTAACTATCACAAGGTACAGTATTCTTAATCACAAAGAATATGTAATCCCAAATGCATTTTACATCTTCAAACAATTACAATACAAAAGATTACAAAATTTACCCACCATTTTCATAATAACATAACACATTTCTTATTACCTTGCGTTTCCTCCTCATATTTCTATCAAAGATCACACAAACTGCAACAAACAACAATATTGGACCGTGAAGATACAGCAAAAGAAGTTACAGGCACCAGGACACAAACTACAGCACAGCACAGCACCACCTTAACTCGTCTCTACCACTAGAGTATCACAAACACACTGGGCAAGGCAGCATCAGATGACATTCACCTGTGGGGTACACCTTACCACACAATGTATACAAACTAATCTTTTCATGCCTGTATATCAACAAGAAACACCCTTGATAATTCTAAATATAAGATACATTACAAAATTATATAGAGCAAATATCACCTACTTGAACAAGATATTATAAGTAAATGGCAGTGCAAATAGAATCTTCAGGTAATATGACACCACTTTATAACGTCAAGTAAATATAACGTTATCAGGGGACTTACATTATAAATAAAAGTACTTTAGTCTTCATGATAGATATCACAAATAATTATCAACTACTAGGTCAAATAAGTTCAAGGTAAACAGTGTAATATTAAGGTATATAGCAACTGTGCAACTTGATACTCAGGTCCCCCACACACCAGGTAGGCTTGTGGCTAACCTCACCCAGGACACATTATTCACACCATCCTCTTCTCTCACTGACTTACATGTTGGACACTATCAATATGTTACCTGTCTGTGTGTGTGTGGGGGGATGGGATATTTTGTGATGATTTTGAAATTATTATTGCACAAGCAGATTGTGAAAAAAAAGAGTTAAAATAAAGACATTCACACATCCCTTATAGAAGACATGACAGCTGCTCCCCCCCCCCCCACACATACACATTGTATTATCCATGTGGATAACATAGGTTAGCAAGCCCATCAATAAGTTACAGTCTTCAGTACTGTGTCATCTCATTTTCCTGCCAGTCACCCTCAAAATACTCACCATTATGAACCTTCTGCACAGGAACGGGGTATGATCAATGAATAGAATACATCCTTTTTGTTTCTACACTGCCATGGCTGGCAACTCTGAAATGAGAATCAAAATAATATCTATTAAAACAAACTAATAAAAAGCAAATATTACATAAAGTACACTGCATTCTATTTGTTGACCTGTCTGGTGTGTAGCCACTTCCTAAAACTCACAGCAGGTGGTCCCATGTGGTATTAATTAGGATCAAAGAGAACCTAGAGGTGCCAAATGGATCACATCTGTCATCCTTACAAATATTAACTTCAGAACAAATCGAAGCCATTGACAGTAAGCTCTGAGATTTGCCTCTTGCATTACAATATTGTTGTAGAAATTCAGAGGTGCAACTACAATTATGCATAGTATTGCAGTGTAGTGAGTCAGTCAAAGTTTTAGTAGGTTCCTGGCTTCAGTGCTCACAAGGTATTCAAATATGGTTTGGTATGACGGATCTGAAATCAAACTACTGCAACGGTTTAACTGTTATATTACAGAAATGTCACAGAACATTCAGAGCGTGTATTTACAGCAGTGTCGCCATGTAGCCCATGCACAGCGAAACTAACTGTTACGGTAAGTATTGATCAATTACAACACGACACTAATACAGCTACAACTGTACACAATAATAATATCTTGTTGCACTCAATCCAGCATTATTGTAGTATTAAAAGTTTAGTCTTTTACATAAAACACAAAATTTGGTTGGTGCTATCAACCATGTACTGTATAACTAATCAAGTTATAACCTACCAAACCTAGCTAACTGGACCCCTTGGCATATTAAATATCTACCTTTTCTAGTAGTTTTCAGATTTTCTACTCATGATATCTCGGTTACAGGGTACAGTTTGGTTCATAAAATGGATCAAACTAACCTACCTAACAAAATCTAACCTAAAGTGGTAATAATTGAAGAGAATGGTCTAACTTAAGCATCAATTACAGGAACTTTCTCCATAAAGACAAAAATTGTCTTACCCCCAAAAAATTGGAAAAAAAAAAAAAAATGATCGAGAGAATGTTTTGTGTAAAATTGAATTTTATGATTTTTTTTCTGCTTTCCATACAGGCTCGTTTCCTATTTTTATAAAGCTACATTCTATAATGTATCATTCATAAAATAAAAAAAACTAATCTAACCTAAAGTACTATACTAGTTACTTTTGTATTTTATTCTTCTAAAATAAAATTACATTCCCATTTTTTTATTCAGTTTCACCCTTCATAAAATGAAGTAAACTAAATTACTACACCCTATCTACCCAAACCATTTCTACAGTCTAAATATGGAGTGCACGGCAAGGTCGTATTTTACCATCTTCCTCCGCTGATTTTGGACATAAAAAGTAATGTTACACAAAAGACATTCCTCATGCACTTTCTATGATTTTCTAGAGGTAAGAAAACTTTTACCTTCTAGGGAGAAATTTTGTCAAGTCAGTACCAAGGCCGGACCACTCATTAAATATTAGCTAACCAAACCAAAACATATTCATGTGTATGAAAATAATTATTTTTAGTTTCTACTGTACATTACCAATACCCAATCACCGAGAAGACAATATGGCCTCCGAGTCTTAATTGAAGCCAAAAGAAATCGGACAATTTATATCAAGCAAAATGTATAACTCATTTAGTTTTTATCGATAACACAAGATAAGAAAGCATTGATGTTCTACGGTGAAATGTCGTGCAGGAGGTAGTTATGCCGTAATTGGGTTTGACTATTACCACTGACATACTCAGTGGAAGTAATTGTATGTCAACAACACTGGAGAGCAAAAATGGCGACAGATGGATGAAGCAGATATGTTCATTGCTAATAGAATGGAAAAACTAACACACAGGATATAGGTACAATACTGTACTGAACGACAGCCGCATGTGAAACGACAACGTCTATTGGTACGGCAGCCTACTGTGCATGCATGGTGGGCAGACTATACAATTAGATCCTAAAATGGCCTTCTTTCTGACTAACCTATTCTAACTTAACGTAACCTAACTTAACCTTTTGGCTGCGGGAGGTTACCCTAAGCTGCATAAAATCTGCGGTAGCCAGAATTAAATGGTAAGTGCAGGAACTGCAGCAAAAGGTTTAACGGTAATTATTCATGACTAACCCGCGGCCGAAATTGATAGAAAACGATTTTAAAAACTCTGGATTTTCACCGTTTTTTTTATTGTGGACACTGTTGTAGTTTGTGCAAATGAGTTAACAAATGGTTATTCCTAAAATAAACGTAACTTAACCTTTGAGGCTATGAAAAACAGGCCTAACTAAGCTAGCCAAACAAACCTACCTAACCTTACCTGACTTCCTTACCGGGGGGTGGATCCCTCTGTATATTAAATAGAAAGAACTTACTAAGATATGGTGTAATTTGAGGCCCTTTCTGGACGTGAGATCATGCGGCCGTATCGGCGCTCATGCAGCCCGGGCGGCCGAGTGAATTATTGTGATGGCAAGAAACGTCGAGCCACGGAGTTGAGGACGCGATGAACAAATTTCTTTCCGGTCTGAAAGCACAGGGATTCCCGCAGAGGGCACAGTCTCTATTTAAAGGAACAATGCCGTGGTCTTTGAACAATTGAAGTCTCGTTGTCTTTATCCTTAAATTCGCAAATCACGTCCATATAAGACCGGCGACAACCTTCATAGGTCATGCTGAAAATGAAACTCGCTCGAGTCCTGGGAAAAGCGCCGCAGAAGAGCGTGGCCTCATTACCGCTGGGAAGACAAATTAGTGAGTGCCTAGGCACAAGAAATGTTTACCACATCAGAACTCACTCATGAAAATAAAGAAAGAAATAAAACAGTAATACAGTGGGGCATGCTATAACGAATGGATCCTACTACGAATATTCCTATAACGAACGGTTTTACCTATAAAATTGAGAATGCCATAACGAACGAAACTCCTACAACGAACATTATTTAAAATTTTTTTTTTTTTTTTTTACTAATTTATTGTTTTTTTATTACAAGTATTAATGATATTCTTTATTTCAGGGGTTTAGATGCATATTTATGCACTTTTTTAAAAATTTTACAATTTTATATTATATTTTTCAATGTTAAGTGGTTGTATTTGGGGGCCTGGAACGGATTAATCCTATAACGAACGAATGCTATAACGAACAAGGTTCTAGAACCAATTAGATTCGTTATAGCATACCCCACAAATAACTCGTCTGCGGGTTAGTCCTATATATTAACAGGGTTAACCTAACCTAACAACACAGTCAGTCAGTACAGCTGCCATACCTACTGTATATTCACTGCAAAAAAAACAAAAATCATATTAAAATCAAAAGTACAAAAATTACAATTCCTATACCGTACCTGTACTTAATTTTTGGTTTTCTTCAGGCAAGGAATAAAGGTAATTTTTCGTTATCCACCCATCACGTTTTACGATTTTTTTTCTTACCATTTGGTAGATCTTCAAGAAACGAAAGAATTTACTTGAATTTAGACGCACATTCCAAAAATAAATGCGATACTCGCGATTTATTAGTTGTAAAAATCACGAATTTTTCTAAGTCCCAATTTGATGTTATGGTTACAGTCCAACTCGGCCCACATCCAACTTGGACCATCTCGGATAACCAACTCGGACCACTTAGGTTAACGAACTCGGGCTAAAAAGCAAAATTAAAAGTTTACACATTTTTGCAAGAATGATAAAGGTACAATGATAAAAAGCAGCAAAGCAGCAAAGATTATAAGGGGGGGGGGATTGATTTGTTATTATTTATGTGGAAGAGGCGAGTTACTTAATGCACAAAGGCAGAACATACTATACAAAAAACTCGGGTCAAATAACAATGACCCCAAATGGATAAATAATTATTTAAAGAATATTATTGGCCAAAGAAAGGCTATAGGTTGGAGAATAAATCGTGAAGTTTACATACGAGATTATTATAAGGAATTGGCCAGTAGGGTTAAGACCGAGATAAGAAAAGCAAAGAAGAATAATGAACTGAAGGTAGCAAGGGAGGCAAAGTTAAGCCCCAAGGGATTCTTTCAAATGTATCAAACTAAAACACGAGACAAGATTGGACGGAGAAATGACCAATAATCTGAAAACAGGTATTTTTCAACAGTTTTCACCGCCGAAAACCAAGACACCGACTATATACAGAGATAGTAAAGAAAATATATTAGGTGAGATAGTAGTGACTAGTAACGATGTTAGTAAGCAAATGGACAAGCTAAAGCCTAATAAGTCACCAGGTCCCGATGAGATAGTTGCCAGAGTATTAAAGGAATGTAAGGAAGAGCTTAGTATGCCCTTAGTAAATTTGCTTAACATGTCATTAAAAACAGATGTAGCACCAGAATCCTGGATGATAGTGAATTTGATACCTATTTTCAAGAAGGGAGATAGATCACTATCCTCTAACTACTGTTCAACCAGTTTGTTTAACATCAATTGTAGGCAAATTGCTGAAAGCAAAAATTTCAAACCCTATTCAGAATCACCAGGAGAAGCACAAGTTACGAATGTGGATCATGGTTCATTGATCAAGTTCTACTAACAAACTCATACAATTCATCCTTCATACCGAATGAACCCACGGTATTCACTCATTCACACTCTTCGTATTTCAGTGAACCAAAAGAGACATAAAACATATCTCAAACTTATTCCTGAACCTCTAGTCAGCTACTTGTTTGAAGTGTGCAAGATGGGCCAGTTAGTAATGTGTGGGCCGAGTTGGTTATTTAAGAGGGGCCGAGTTGGAGGTACACCCCCTAACCTAACTGAAAAAAAAAGGGATTTGCCCCAAAGATAATTGTCAGAATCATCTAAAACACCAAGAATACTGTAGAGAAAAAATAAATCATGTGAAAAGGTGATGAGTGGATAAAGAAAAATAACAAGAATAAATTATTTTCTACTGTGCAATATTAGGCAAAAAATAATTTATTTAGATACACAAGAATCATTAAATATAACCGTTAATTTTCTTACACGAAAAATAACTACTGAAATTAATAAAATAAATAAAATAAAGAAACAAATTATTGATATTCATAAAGTAACCGACGTTTGACTAAATAAATTACCACCAAGATACGAGTTACAACCTTTATTTAATTCCCCATAGTGCTGGATTATAACACTCAACTGAACCACAGAGATTACAGCACGGAGTCTAATATCCTCTAGCACACTTATAATATATTACTAAAATAAAACCTAACAAATGATTATAGAAGAACCAGATGTCGAGGTCACTGACACAACGGCCTCACACATTAAAAACTCATCCTCTACGTCTTCTCTCACTCATATTTGGTTCAACTACATGTGAAACGTCAGGAATGGATCTAAACAGGTATAGAATTTAAGAGTAAAGGGATTAAATAAGGCTCACCTACTTAAAATATTACACTCCGAGACAAGTTGGAGACCACCAAGCTAGTGTACCATAATTTACATCCAGGTTATGTTACCAATACCGCAGTTCATCTATATTATTTCTTATTTGTATGATATTAAGTTAGTAATAAATACGTAAAAATAGCATATTAATAAAAGAATATCACTTTTTTAAATTTATGAGGATATTTAATGCATTATAAAAAATTTAAGTTTAACAATATGAAACCGTTATATAGACGTATTCCCGCATGAAGGTTATTTTCAGTAAAAATGTTGTAGTAAATTATTTTAAAATGGAAATCGATCAATTTCACTATGAAAGATAAATATTGCAAATAATATATGCTTAATAATTTTAAGAAGAAACTAATATGATCCTATGAAATGTGGAGAATAAAAGTCTCGTCAAGGCTGATGACTCGAAGCTCTGCCTCAGTTATCTGGGGATGTAATTATAAATAATGTGGAATAAAAAACAATGCTAACAAAAATCTTTATAGAATAGCCCAAATCGTGTCTGATGATGCCCGAAGGACCCCCTTTCTTAGCTCTCATACAGTCTCATGGAATTTTGAAATTCATCGTGGTACTTTTTTTTCACACCCAAAAAAGGCGGCAAACTGTGTGGTAGAGACTCATTCAATTACAACTTAAGAGAACAAGTTAATTCCATTTAAAAGAGGAGGATCCAAAGGGTACCTTATCTATTGAGACTGCACAGTTGCTACATCGGTCAGAACCTCTTAAAATCTTGCTTTGCATCAGTCACGTGATGATTAGTGTGAGTACAGTATGGGCACGAGGACCACATAGGCAATAAGAATTAATTAATATTTCAAGTGTTAACTTCGGTAAATGTTTCGGTATGTTTGATTGTACTGCATGAATCCTCACTAAATAAAGTAAAATATAATATAATCAAAAGATCGTTAATTATTGGAAATTGAAATATACTGCACGGATAATTACACACTGCGGGGAGTTACACATGCGTAGTGTGTAAAATAGAAGACTATTATAGGCGATGGCATAATGGACCATATACACATTGCAACGGAACCGGTTCATTTATTGGTTTTATTTATTCATTTATTTGTTTTGCCTCGTGAAGGAGTACCAGAACGGGTTTTTGCCCGGAAGCTCCTGCTTGATACACATGCTGGAGGGGCTGGATGTGTGGTCGTACATACTGTAGAACTTGGAACGTTGTAGTTATATTCACAATCAATCAAAGTACTGTCCTTATATCTGAGGGTTGGTCTACCACAGACCTCCATTCTAAACGTTCTCGGTCTATATTCCCCATACAATAAATGCAGTACATCGTATTTGCCAATTTCTTTGGTAGTGTTTGTGTTCCTCAAGAAAAGTTGAAAATGAAAATGAAAATAAGAGCAATATTGTCAGCCACACAAGATAATTGTTTTCAAAATCAACAACTAAAGATTACGATGATTCCTCCTTTGATAAGAGCCGTCATCTCAACTTGGCTAGCTGCGCAACATTGACCTGACGCTGTTCCATAATTCTAGCGAAACCATAATGAGCAATGTATTGGCAGAGATACTTTGTTCCGCTATGCTTCTTGAAGTCAGCAGGACTATCTTTGAACTTTGTTAATGTGAAGTAACTGGCGTCTCAATTTGGCGGTGTCTATTCTCAATAATACCTGGATGGTTAAATTATGTGGACTAAAATAATACTATCATGGCCCTGTAGGAACCCATATTGCAGGGCGATAGTGTCCCTTCCTCCCCCGCCTCGAGATCCGGGTCTGATATATGACAAGTAAATTATATGCTGTCCTCTCTATTCTATAATGTTGTTCAGTCGCTTATTCACTAATCCGCCCGATAGTAGAACAGCTAATATAAAATAAGCAAACTTAAACTGAATACAGTACATAGAGTATGTTTTAAGTAAAACTCAACGAAACTAAACGAAGGGCAAGAAACTAAGACACCCGGGTCTTTCCTGCAGCCAGAAGAAAGAGGTTTCCCGTACAACTATTACATTTTCTGTAACAATATTAAAGAGAATGGGGCCGAATACTCATCAGAGGCGTGACCGACAACCCAAGCAGCTAACGAGCCGATCAGTGGCGAAGAGGATGAAAGTAAATTGATATTGAAACAGTTTGTTTTATATTGAAACAGTTTATTTAGCTAAAGGAACACAGATACAGAGTCGATTATACATCCTAATATTAACATGGCTGAGCCAGTTGAGAGCCTGAGCTCTCTTGTAGGCATCTAATATATACTGTACATTTATCTTAAAGAAGTATTTTGTAACCTTTAGTATCATCTTGAATAGTACTGTAGGGTTTCGTGATATTATGTTGTCTAGCACTCAGGATGGATGGAAACTCTAAGGTGGTGGTTTTGTTATATAATATAAGTTATATGGTAGACAGTCTGGTGCTGGAGATGCCGTGTGGTGAGGAGCTGCTCAGTAGACACGTTCGGTGAGTAGCGTGTTGAAGGAGGTAGATGTGCAGGAGCTTCGTTAGAGAAGATGTTGCCTGTTGCTGGCCTCCTGGTTGAATGAAAGCTGGACAGCGAGGAGCTTGCTTGGAGGAGGTGTTGCGTGTTCAGGAACGTAGAGTAGAATAAGAGAGCTGGTTGGTGAGGACGCTCAGAGAAGGACAGCTGGTGGGTCGCCATGCTCGCCGGCGGGAGCGAGGACCGCCAGGCAGGCGGAGGAGAAGCGAGGGCCGCCAGGCAGCGGCGGAGGAGGAGGTGTTGCGTGTTCAGGAACCGAGGCCAGAATGAATCTCAATGGAGAGACAGAGCTTATATACACAGCAGCCGGAAGTAAATCCGTGGGAAGTCGCCGGTTTCTCGACTCCGTTGCTAGGGAAGACGTGGCTGGTTGCTAGGATACTGTGGCATCTGGTGACGCCCCCCCCCCCCTGGGCCGCTCGTTTGGTTGCTAGGAAGATGCGCTGGTTGCTAGGATACTGTGGCATTGGAATGCGGCTGCCGCAGTTGTAGGGGAGACGTCCACTACAGTACACACAGCATGGTGGTAATAAGAACATATCAGAATGTTACCACAGTTATCACTTCGATATTTAATTATTTTAATTATTTTTTTTTACATTTATATTAGAAGTATATACATACTTTACAGTGGAGTTGATAAACATAAATATTGTTACGGACCTCCTCCTTTCACCGCTTACCCAGCTTCCACCACCGGTTACCAGCGACTAGAAAGTGATGTCCAAGGCAGATATTGTGGGTTTCTGATGTTGTTTCGCACTCAGGATGGGTTGGAGAAACTCTTCATGATGGTTTCTTTTATATAAATATATTGAATGTACAGCAGTGCAGGGAGTTGCTGTGTGGTGAGGAGCTTGCTGGAGAGGAGGTTGCTTGTCGGGGCTGTAGGTAGAAGGGCTCCTGCAGCCGCATACCATAGCCATAGCTCCAGCTCGGTAGACAGCATACTATAGTAGCTCCAGCTCGGTAGACCCAGACACCATAGCCTGAGCCCCAGACAGCATACCATAGTAGCCCAGCTCTGGTAGTAATCCACACCATAGTAGTTTCAATTCAGACTGCATAATGCTATAGAAGTCGCAGTTTGTAGACTGCATATCATGGTAGCTCTAAATGGCAGACAGCATACTATATTCAGTCAGACTACATATCAAGTAGTAGTTCAGCAGACAGCATACTATAGTAGCCTTGTGCCTGCAGACGCATACCATAGTAGCTCCAGCTCTGGCAGACCGGCACTATAGTAGCTCCCAGTTTGCAGACTGCACAGTAGCTCCAGCTCGGGCAGACAGCATACTATGGCAGCCCCAGCTCTTGCAGACCCCATACTATAGCAGCTCCAGCTCTGGTAGACAAGGCGCAGTAGCTCCTACTCGGTAGACAGCATACTAGGCAGCCCAGCCTGGCATACATACCAAGTAGTCTATTTTCAGACAGCATACTATGTAGCTCAGCCGGCAGACAGCATACTATAGTAGCCCTGTCGGTGGACGGCTACCAGTGAGTGCTCCAGCTCAGTAGACCGCATACCATAGTGGTGCTCCAGCTCGGCGGCAGACAGCATATTGCAGTAGCTGCGTTTCTCGGCAGACCGCATACCACAGTAGCTCCAGCCTCGGGCAGACAGCAGCATGGTCATAGTAGCCCAGCTCTGTAACTGCACATAGTAGCTCCAGCCGGTAGACGCATACAGGTAGCTCCAGCCCAGACCGCATACCCTAGTCGCAGTGCGTTTATGGCATCCCAGCCCAGACCGATACGGCAGTAGCTCCAGCCTGGCAGACCGCATACCATAGTAGCTCCAGCTCTGTGGTGACCGCATCACAGTAGCTCCAGCCGAAGAGACAGCATACTATAGTAGCTCCAGCCTGCAGACAAGTATACTATAGTGAAGCTCCAGCCCTGCATTGTTAGCACAGTAGCTCCAGCCTGGCAGACAGCATACCATAGTAGCTCCAGCTCGGCAACAGCATACCATAGTAGCTCCTGGCAGACAGCACAGTAGCCTGTGCTCGGCAGAGTTGCACACATAGTAGCTCCAGCCTGGTGATGTGTTACTATAGTAGCTCTCAGTTTTAGAGACAGCATAATATAGTAGCCCAGCTCATGCAGACAGCATACTATATAGTAGCCCAGTTGGTAGGAGCATACTATATTTAGCTGGCAAACAGCATACAAGTAGCTCAGTTTGGTAGACGTATACCATAGTAGCTCCAAATGGTAGACAGCATACTACAGTAGCTCCAGTTTTGCAGACAGCATACTATAGTAGCCCAGCCAGTAGACCTGCATAATTACAGTAGTCTTGAGCCTATGCGACAGCATACAGTAGCTCAGCCTGCAGATCAGTACTATAGTAAAGCCCAGAAGCTCGGCATAGTACAATTATAGTAGCTCCAGCTCGAAGTAGACAGCATACCATAGTAGCTCCCAGCTCGGCAGACAGCATACTATAGTAGTTTTAGTTTTGTGTAGACAGCATACTATAAGAAGTTCAGTCAGAGATATGTATTGAGTAAATTTGAAGCTCGGCAGACA